GTGCGACAGCAAAAGCTGCCGCGTGGCTCTACCACTGATAATTTAAATAATAAATTACATAGGTAAACTACCCAATCGTTGGCACTCCTCCAATTATTCACACTTTAGTGTTTAGTTCGAAAAAAACAAGGAAACCATACATTATTCAAGTTCGGTATGCATTAAAAACTAAAATAGTATTATTTTTCTATTAAAAATTGGCCACACTGTTGCAATAACTAATATGGCAATTCAGAAACAACAGCTGACATTTTGTGCTAGTGACTTGGTGTAGTTATTTTGATTTTTTCTTAAGGTGAGAGCTTTATTAATCATAGTATATCGCAGCTACTCGGCTAATTGTTGCTTTCGAAATAATTTGATATACTTAATTACACCTTTAGGCATTAGATTTAAAGATTATTTCTTGAATATTTTTATCACATTTTATTTATTACCTGTGCCAGCATATGGAACAATAATTTCATCAAAATTCCTTTATTGGCACTAATGCCAATAATATGAATTTTTCCAATGTTATCAACAAGCGAGTTTATGATATATTTGTAAAGGTTTTAAGTTAAATGATTGTTTGCTCATCGTAAATTTTTTCCTTAATAGCAATTTCCAAATGTTGGCCCACAGTGCCAATAGCAAAAGCTAATTATTGGCAGTAGTGCCCATAATAGAATATTGACTGATAATAATAGGTTTTTTAATAATTTAGTGTACGTCGTAAACAATGAAGGAACTAAATCAAAAAGACACCAATAAAAAGAAGTCAAGAGGAAAAATAGAAAAAAATAAACGAAACCAATATTGTGAGGAAAATATAAAAAAACTTTAGACGCGATTAAAATGACATGGCTAAAATCAAGCAGCAAAACAATATCAGGTCCCTCGAGCTACATTACAATTTTGCATTAAGAAACCAGATCATAACCCTCAGCCTGGTCCGAGGCCAGTACTTAACACAGACGAAGATAATAAATTAAAGAATTGGTTAAATGTTAGCCATGCAAAGGGTTTTCCTAAACGAAAAGAAGATCTTTTGATAATAGCGTTGAAGAATTTATATAAAAAAGCGGCCGATCTATCCCGTTCAGGGACAACATTCGCGGAGATAAATGGTTTAAACTCTTCTTACAGCGACACTCGGAAATTGTTGGTAAAGCTCCTGAAGCTATAACAGCGGCAAGTGCTGCCGTATCAGAAAATTCTATAAAAGGATGGTTTCAAAAAATTGAAATATATCTAAAAGATCACGGTTTGTTTGAAATTATATCAGACCCGAAAAGTGTCTTGAATGGTGACGAAATCAATTTTGTTCTTTGCGCAAAAACAGGTGTGGTCTTGGCACCAAAGGGTGAAATATATGCAAAGAATGTTTACGAAATCGACCACGCCCCAGACAAAAATTCACTAACAGTGATGTTTAATTTTGCTGCCAATTGTGAAATCACCCAACCTATGATGATATTCCCGTACAAGGACTTGCCAAGGAACTACAACAACAGCAAAAAAAAAATTAGGCAAAACTGAACAAATGCTTAAAAAAGAAAAACGTGTCAAAAAACTAGTTGTCAAAAAACACGAAACTACAGAATCTGCAAAAAGAATATTATTTTCGTATAATAGATCAAAATGAAGTAGAATTGATACAAGAAAAAGATAAAAATAAAATAGAATTAATACAGGAAGAAGATAAAAATAAAGTAGTATTGAAACAAAAACAATTTAATACAGAGAAAAGGGAAACTAATAAAGAAAATTACACAGAAAATAGTCTGAAACAAAAACTAAATTTTAACAGTATTAAAAAAGAAAAATATGATATAAAGAATAAAATAATTAAGCTAAATAAGCCAAAGAAAGAGGATACCAAAAGTATTTTAAAGAATGTTTTATATTCTGAGGAAGCATTGTGCAATACGGATGAAGACGAGAAATTGAATGATGATAGTCATATCAGAGCTAACAAAAACTTAAGCATAACTTAAATTGAGAAAATGTTGACCGAAGATTAAGAATAAAATGCTACTTTTTAATCGGTTCCAGTAAGACTGTAAACTACCTACATAAAATACTAAAATAGGTAGGGAGAGTATTAATTGAGTAAGTTCTTAATCAGACTGATTGATATTTTAAAGGTAGGTATTAAAAGATCTCAAGGATAGCATATTAAGTACTGACAAAGAGAGACTGCCAAAACGAGTACTTAGAATAAGAGAAAGTGTTAATGTAATAAGAGTTGAGATTAGGTATTTTTATGAAAACTTTACGGTAGAAAACGTACATAAATAAAAGCAGATATTTACCTAGTAAAACAGTGTTTTAATTATACCCTAGGTATAGGTACGTATTTATTTTATTTTATTGATAGGTAGGTACCATTTCCTACTTTAACTACGTGCCAATAATTAGACGAGTAGATGCCAATATTGAGAATTTCTATGCCAATAATAGGATTTTCTGTAGTCTTTAGGATTTTAGTGTAAAATGTTTATTTAATACTAGTCAATCACATAAAAATGTGTTGTCTTTGATTCTGTCACATGTTTTGTCTACTAGCTATTGTAAATAAGATTTTATGGTAATTTAATTTCCAACTGACACGAAGCTCACTCTTAAAGTGCCAACAATTGGGTGGTTTACCCTATCTACTTTTTAAAATAAAATATCACTAAAATGTAATTCTTACATAATATATATTATATTATATTAAATTAACACATATGCAAAATAAATAACAATTAAAATAATTGTACTCGATATAATTAACAATACAATCTAAATAAACAATTACTGATTACATGCTGATCATTCTACCTATACGTATAATCTATGATGACAAAAACTGCGCATGCGCGACTCTACTATCTCCCGCGCATGCGCGAAGACATAGAGTAGCGCACATTTTTTGTTTGGTATAGCTTCTCTAGTACGTAATACATATAACTCAATGGAGGCGAACCATTTTTTGTAGTTTACGTCCACTTGGACAACTTTTCACAATGCAAGTGTTTCCCATTATTGTTCAATTATTTTATAACGTTTTATAACTATTACCACAGTAAAATATATATAAAAACCACTAATAATTATTTATAAAAAGTCACACTAATAAAATCACGTTACTCACCGCAGTTTTTTTTTGCTTATATTTACTTAATCATTTTAGACTACGTAAATTGTAGAGGTTTTGTATACTGGATTTACTAACTACGTGATTATTACCTCTCAACCCTAACTACTATTAGTCATGAAATTTTTTAAATATTTGAACTCGGCACACTTCACTCGGTCTACAACAGCTATGTTCATATTGTAGTTTTCCAGACGCCAGCGCTATTGTGGTAGGTTTTGGAACCTTTATTTTCAGTTTACAGTTAGACACTTTTTCAACTTTCCGCCTACATGAGGTGGTTCTCCTTACCCCTACACTCCATATTCTAAAGATATTTCATTTTTTATATCTTTGGGTTATTCTATAAATAAATAAATACGTGGCAAGTTTCGTCGTAGCTACCTGAACTTAGCCCTACTTGGATTTTTTATTCCTGATTGATCTTAAATACAACTTAATTGTTAATAAATGACCATAAAAGCGAGCAAAGCGAGCTCGGGATTTGGGCAACCAATCAGACTAATATGATGCTTACGCATGGGCACCCCAACTCGGACTCGAGTAATAGGAGACCCACTTAGCGGTGCTCCATCGACTACGTAAAAATAGTGAATAATTAACAATTAAGTTGTATTTATGATCGAACAATCGTCAATAGCGATTGAACAAATTAATTAATTATAAATAATTAATTATTTATTAAACAAATGTCATCCTTAGGTTAGCCCCCCCCCCCCTTATTTTAAATGTTAACTTTTATCCCTTAAATTTATTAATTTTTACTAAATATCGTTGATCTGCTTATATTTCTATTTCTAGTTACTGGAGTTCATAGATAAATAAATATGATAGAGTTTTGGCGGGAACTTGAACGGTGGATGATTGCTGCTCTTGTATTAATGTTTAAATAATGATTGAAGTGAATTTTGATATGTAAAAGTGGTGCGATTTTATGTATCAAATACCTGCGCATGTGAACTAGTAATGGAAACGGTGAAACAAATGCTCTGATGGTAATGTGATTCTTAAGATGAGGTGTCTGTCTGCTTAGGCACCTTGAGATACCATCGCCAACTGTCCGCTGTCTGCTGGCTCAAGTTGCCATCAAAATCTCCCAAGGGCTGCGCAATGTGCCGCTTCAACATAATATTGTAAAACAGTGTACTATAAAGAATTATTACCACTTGATATTGAGATAAATGAAGATATAACTAAGACACCATGTCTATGCTACTATATAATATTATTATTACTTGGTCTGTGTTTGTGGCTATTTCGTTATGCGTAGTATCTTCTTAGTAGTCTGTGATTTCGTTTTTGATTCTACATTCTACTGGAGTTTTGGCGGGAAATTGACCGGCGGCGGTTTGCTGCTCCTGTATTATTGTTTAAATAATGGTTTGAAGTGGACTTTGATATGTAAAAGTGTTGCGATTTTGTGTATTAAGTGTCTACGCATGTGAACTATTAGTGGAAACAGTGAAACAAGTGCTCTGATGGTGATGGATTCTCAAGATAAGCTGTTTGTTTGCATAGGCACCTTTAGATACCATCGCCAACTATCAGCTGTCTGCTGGATCAAGTTGCCGCCAAAATCTCCTAAGAACTGCACAATGTGACGCATCAACATATTGTGAAGCAGTATACTATGAAGGAGTGGGGAAATTACAATAAACCGAATAAAAATACTTAAGACTTGGCCTAAAGGTCTAGATACAAGGCCATAAACTCCAAAAAAAAAAAATCTACATTCTACTAGTTAATCTGTGGCTATTTCCTTGCGTGTTTCTAGCATAGTGGAAAGGAGTTTTGTTTTTGTAACAAGAACAACAGTATTGTTAAATTTAGAAAGTTGTGCCGTTATCTCTTAGGCAAGTCCGTAAACGAACTAAAAATGACAACTTCAGAAGTTTCATTTAACCGTAAAATAATATCAGAAGATTTGTCGAATGTTGAATTCGACACGAGCGAAGATGTTGAAGTTATTCCAACATTTGATTCAATGGGCTTGCGAGATGAGTTATTGCGAGGAATATACACCTATGGTAATATGATTTTGATATATTTTTAATGCTTAAACAGTATTAGCTAACGTTACGAATTTTGTAACACTTCCCCTTTTTCAGGTTTCGAGAAACCGTCAGCTATACAGCAAAGAAGTATTCAGCCAATTGTTAAAGGCAGAGACGTTATAGCTCAAGCCCAGTCAGGCACTGGTAAAACTGCAACATTCTCGATCTCAATATTGCAGTCTTTAGACACCACACTGAGAGAAACCCAAGTGCTTGTGCTATCCCCTACGAGAGAGTTAGCCACACAAATTCAGAAAGTTATACTTGCCCTGGGTGATTTCATGAATGTTCAGTGTCATGCTTGTATTGGTGGTACTAATCTTGGTGAAGACATAAGAAAATTGGATTATGGTCAACATGTGGTATCTGGTACTCCTGGACGGGTATTTGGTACGTAAACGAATTTAAGTAACACAACCCAAGAAAGAAAAAAGTAATAATCTACATAATATGTCCCATCAATGGGAACAGGCCTACTTTTATAGAGTGTGGAGGGATGGTTCTGTTGTTCTACTTGTTAGTACACTTATTTGTCTGCAAATAATCTTTGAATTTGTCAGACATTTTCATTTCCAATTGATGTTGACCTTCACTGGGAAACACATTGTAAATCTATACTTAGAATTGAGAATAAATTTTTTTTTAGTCAAATGAAATCAAACTTGGCTTGTATTTTCACTACAACCACAGAATAAGTAATAGTACAAGATCAGAAGGATCACTCTGATAGCAAACTTGTGAGTTTAAACCTACTTACAATGTCTCTAATTTTCATATTACTTTGCACGCCTAGGATGCGACCTTCGTTAAAATAGCCTACTGATTGTTGTGCACTTATTAAATCAAAATGCACCTTAAATCCATGTGTGAGAGGTATCACTTAGCCCAATAAGCACATTTGTTAAGACCGCTCCTACTGTAGGGTTAGGTGTTGTGAGAAAACAAATTGAATCCTTTGATATTAGTTGGTAGAAGAATACACCGAGGTGTTATGCAATGTATTAGTAATTTACTGATAATAAGAATATTATTGTTCAATGTGAGGAAGGTTAATATGCAACATTGAGAAAAACTAAGATTCTAACAACATGAATATTTTTTTCTGTGATACCTCAGCACTTTTTCCAAGGTGAACCGATTTTGATGATTCTTTTTTTTATTTTAAAGCAACTGCTTCTCATATAGTCCCATATAAATTTTATCAATATTAGACGGTATTTAATTAACTAAATTGATGATGTTCTCATTTTATTTATATTGAGGTTGGTTGTACAAAATTTTTAATTTCATCACTTTTTGGTTTCACATTTTTTGCTATTTACAAATATGCAACATGCAACAGCATTATTAATGAAAGAGTGGTTTTCAATATCTTTCTTTTATTGACCAAGTGTTAAACTAATAACTAGTATATGCTGATCATGCATTAGTAGGCAGTCACTAGTCACAATTTTTTAAGGTCATTGGCATTATATGTGAAAAAATCGAAAACTGCAAAGCTGTGGTTGGGTCGCCAATCAAATAATAAATTTCTGTAACTATGAAGTCAGTAACTAGGTACCTAATTATTTAGATCTACCTAAAAATAATAATATCTTACTTTTCAGTATCCTTAGGAACAGTAAAGAATGAAAAGTCGACATTTCTTTTGTCATTTAAGCACCCATGTGCTATGCAGTACATTTTGGCTTTTTGAGAGGCCATACTTGAATAAAAACTCAAAAATAAATAACAAAAGTGCCTAAACACTTAAAAGAGAAAAATACACTTTTGTTAACATAAGGTGCACAAACTTGAGCATGTGCGTGACAACCTCACAGAATTAGACACCTTGTAGAGGACTACACATCATAGGTATATTTTCATACCTAAAGCACGGAGTAATACGGTCTGCTACAACTTATTAAAAATGACTGCTGAACATATGCCTCCCCATATGTTACTTGCACCTAAGGTTTTATAAGCCATAGCCAAGTATATTTATAAGTGTGCTGTGGGCTGCAATTTCCACCACAGCATTCAGTTTAGAAATTGTTATGAAATGTACTGAAGGGAGAAGTCACAGCTGCTTACTACATTTATGTTTACATTATATATACAAGTGGTAAATTAAAAATTTTGTAGAAATGACTTCAATATGAATATAATTTATTGTTGATTTTTTTTTTAAAACCCCTCGATCGATTTAGATAAAAGAACATTCCAAATCAGTTCAGCTGTCTTTGAGTAATTGGTGAACATACATTAAAAAAAAGATTCAGACGAATTGAGAACCTGCTCCTTTTTTGAAGTCACTTGATAAGGAAAATCAGAGAAAGAAGTATTTGGTACATCTTTATTGGTATCTATGCACACAACTGAACTTGATTTCGGGTCACCACTTTAGTAAAATTATTGTAATAATTTTACTAATGTGAGTAACATATAAATATACATTAATTATTTATATAATAATTAGAGAATTACAGTTTATACTTGCTCACATAATAAAAAAGCAAAAAAGATCTTGCGAACTCCAGAGAGTGAAGTCTTGCCTAGTGAACCAGTGGGATACCAGTTAAAATGATAAAATCTTGATCTATTGACTTGGTCACATTTGTGTGGGCTGTGACCAAATCCCGGATGGTAACTGCATAGTGCAATGTGCCATAAAAGTAATAATGTTCAATTTTAATTATTTTGATTTTGTATCTCAAGTTATGCCTACAATTTTCTGTTATATACCATAGGTATATAAGTTTGGTTAATTAGCCCAAGTATATAAGTTTGGTTTATTTGAAATTTTTGTTAGAATTATTGTAGATGATTTTTACCATGTTAACATTTTCAGTGTCAAATTTACTTTGTCACCTTAACCTACTGGACAAGGTTTTATGTCTTAAAATTCTCTAATGTTTTTGTTATATTTGCACATTTTTGATAGACTTGCTAAAATTGATAGATTTAGCTATAGCAAATTCTGATTTTTATCTCATTTCCACAATGGTCTATTTCAGATATGATTAGGAGACGTGTTCTGCGTACCAGATCAATAAAGATGCTGGTACTTGATGAAGCTGATGAAATGTTGAATAAGGGCTTCAAGGAACAAATATACGATGTTTACCGTTATCTGCCACCAGCAACACAAGTTGTGCTCATCTCTGCAACACTGCCCCATGAGATACTTGAAATGACCTCAAAGTTCATGACAGATCCTATCAGAATTTTAGTTAAACGGTTTGTAATGCTCTTTATATTGTATTAAAATATAAAATAGTTTTAATAATATATAAAGAACAAAAGTTCCTAAATATTTTAAAATTGTATCCTGTTGATGTAAGAGTTTACAAAATCAGGCATTTAATAAATGGCAGTATAATAATTTTGTATTTATGCCTAATATAAAATAATGAAACCTCAGCATCAGCATTTTTTCCTATTACAAAAGAGGTTTGCGTCCAGTAGTAGACTGTGTATGTGTATGTGCAGTTGAGGAGAATAAAAAATTAATGTTGTAGGAGGAAATGCAATCTTCGTCTTCTTTTAAATTATGGCTTCTCTTGATATGATTCTGCCAATATCAAGTGAGATTTAGGAGTGACAAGTAAAATGCAATCATATTTCTAAGATATCTTCTGTCATTATAAATCATAATGCTTTGACTTCCTATATAAAAAAATCTTTTCTTATTTCTAGTGACGAATTGACATTAGAAGGCATCAAACAATTCTTTGTGGCAGTTGAAAGAGAGGAATGGAAATTTGACACATTGTGTGACTTGTATGACACTCTAACCATAACTCAAGCAGTTATATTTTGCAACACTAAAAGGAAGGTTGACTGGCTCACTCAGAAAATGCAAGAAGCAAACTTTACAGTTAGCTCCATGCATGGAGATATGCCACAAAAAGAAAGAGACAATATAATGAAAGAGTTTCGTTCTGGACAAAGGTAAACAACCTGTATAATATTGTGTAATGTGCATATTTATGTTACTGAGTATTATTACACACTACATTAACAAGATTTGGCTGTACTGTGTCAAATTTAAAAACCCTTAGGTGGTCTCATAGCAATTGCAAATGTTATTACTTTTTATTATTAAATATTCATAAGTTAACATGGAACTGGACCAATTAGAACTCCAATGTATGTCATGTTTAGCAATTATATGCAGAAATCTTACATGCAGAAGGCATTTTATCTTTTAAGTACATCTTTTGAAATACAATATACATGAGACTTGTGTTGTGTCGGTCATAATTGATTAAATGAATTTGATTTGATTACAGCCCAAACTTGAGTGATTAGATCATGGATGACTAAAAGATGCATCAGTCAATGTCAATTTTCACCCACTGTACTGAATCAATGTGTATATTATTTTCTCATTAATATCAGAATTATTATAAATATTTTTTATATGTTTTTCCATCCTTTTTATGGAGATAAAAACCATTAAAGTTAAAATAATAATTGAAATCATAATATGTTGAAATGACCGATAATGTATGAACAATTTATCATTGTGATTTGATCACCAGAACAACGGATCATAATTGACTTGGATTACAAAAAATTATTAAGAGCACAAGTTGTATATGTGTTTTTTGACAAACCTTATGATATACTACCATTCTTTGAAAATTTAAATATGTAAGCACTATAACTAATATTCTTAGGTACTGTAGGTACATCCATAATATGTTACAAACTTTTATATTAAAACTAAATGGACAGCTCATTTTTTCCCATAATACCGATTGTCATTGTATGGAGAGCAGGGAAAAGCAGTAAGCTAATTTTATAATTTTTTCATGTTTATCTTAAGAGCGTAGTCGGTCTTGCCCAGGAATTGAAAAATAGGTATTCGAAGAAACTATTGCCGTCGCACTATATATGGCCTCCCCCTGTAGTGTAATAGGGACAACTGCAGCTCAATGATTTTACCTACAAAAACCATGACACGTTTCACATGTTTCGTACTCCCTTGTTTTCTCCTCGAAAACTTACTTACTTACTTACTTATCTTCACACACAATCCCTGACGGGGTACAGGAGAACAGATCGCCAAGTGTCACGATCCTTACATATATCCTCGAAAACTAAGCCGATTAAATTATTTTTGGTATCAAAATTTAAAGAAAGAATAGATCTATGCTCCTATCACTTGTTTTTATCGTAAAACCTTTTCAAACTTCTTTCATAGTTGTCTGATTATGGAGATAAAAACTGAGCATTTTTTAGGTTTTTGGAAAGTCATATATATATATTTGTAATAATTTATTGGAAAAAATAAATGACAGGGGCATGCCTACAATAGACCTAGATTTTTATAAACAAAAGCAATCACTCTAGAGGCATTATCCAGGAAGAGCTATGCTCTTAATTATGTTCAACTCGAATTCAATAAATGTATTCAAAAATGATATATTATTGTAGTAACATGTGCTTAACAATTTTTGCTGCCATAATATTTTACTATTATTTTATTCTTTTCATTCGAAAAGAAGAAATCTAAGGTATTGTGTAACACCTGACATGTGACATGAATATCTTTGATTTATAAACATTACTAATTTGTACTGAACTTTTTCTTTCAGCCGCGTCCTTATTACAACAGATGTATGGGCCAGGGGAATTGATGTGCAACAAGTGTCACTAGTAATCAATTATGACCTTCCAAACAATCGTGAGCTGTACATTCATAGAATTGGTAGATCAGGTCGCTTTGGACGTAAAGGTGTTGCAATTAATTTTGTAAAATCAGATGACATCAGGATTCTCAGAGATATTGAACAATACTACTCTACTCAGATTGATGAAATGCCTATGAATGTAGCAGATTTAATATAATTTTCAGTTTGTCTAATCTATAACATTTTTATATCCACCCAGTTGAAACTTATACAGGTGGTGAAACTTATGGTGAAAATTTCAATCTTTACCTTCTAATATTTAACTGTATTCGTAATATAATTATAGATTTTACTTGAATTTTTGTTTTCATTTCTACCTTAATTAATTTCACACATAGTATTATTCTCAGGACTATTACAAATTGCATAATACTTTTCAGAAAAAGCCCATAATCCATCCTTATTCATGCTATTTTCCTTAATTAAATTTAAGTAAATAAAATAGATTTATTAAATTTTATTTAAATTTATAACATAAAACATGTTTTATCTACAATAATTACAGAAAGTAGATATTATTACTAATATAAGTTTTAATTCTTAACATTTGATATTGGATATAATGTATATATTATATACTTTAACTCTTGGAATGTCACTTAGATAATTTAGAAACAGGCTATTAGTAAATAAAATCTTTTTGGTTTATTTGCTGATTTAATACAATGTTAAAGCCATTTATAAAAAACAAAAACAAGTTGACAATTAGTAACAAAAAGCTATTTACAATGATTTACATTTTAAATATAGTTCCAACTTGTAAAACCTATTATTATTAAAGTGTTACATAGGCTGCACTCAAAGTATCGGGAATGGAATATTTCCACTGTTCCTGTCATATTAAAATCTTTTTAATTGAAAAGTCCTTGGTTTTTTAAAATTGAATACCATTTATTTATTTAAAAAAAGATTCACGGTCTTGTAACAAGGTTTTGACAAACTTGTTTAGTCGTTGAGAAAATGGAATTGACTCGAGAAAATTCAAGAGCGATGATTTATTATGACTTTCGAAGTGGTTTAACAGAAAAACAGTGTGTTGACCGGATGATTTCTGCATTTGGTGATGAAGCCCCATCCAAAACCACAATTCATCGCAGGTTTGCTGAATTTCAACGTAGACGTATCAAGCTCAGTGATGATCCCCGTCGTCCAAAAACTGCAGTCACCCAAGAAAACGTTGATGCTGTGCGTAAGCTGATTGAGGAAGATCGACATGTGACATACCGCGAAATTTAGGCAACTTTAGACATTGGCATGAGTCAAATACAAATAATCTTGCATGAACAATTAGGTGTAAAAAAGTTGTTTTCCCGCCAATCACGAGTTTGGTTGTTCGAAAATGAGTTAAAGCCAACAAAAATTGGTCGTTCACGAAGTGTTGCAAAAAAAATGGTGGCCACGTTTGTCTCCAAAACCGGCCATGTTACGACTATTCCTCTTGAGGGACAAAGAACGGTTAATGCAGAATGGTATGCTAGCATTTGTTTGCCACAGGTCGTTTCTGAACTCCGTAAAGAGAACTGCAACCGCCGCATTATCCTCCATCACGACTGCGAGTTCTCACACCGCACACAGAACAAAAGAGTTTTTAGAGCAAGAAAACATAGAATTATTAGACCATCCGCCGTACAGCCCTGACCTAAGCCCTAATGATTTCTATACTTTCCCTAAAATAAAGAATAAATTGCGTGGACAGAGATTTTTCATCACCTGAAGAAGCTGTGGACGCCTACAAAACGGCCATTTTGGAGACCCCAACTTCCAAATGGAATGGTTGCTTCAATGATTAGTTCCATCGTATGGAAAAATGTGTCAAATTTCGCAAAGAATACTTTGAAAAGCAATAAATACATTTTTAAATAGTAATGTTGTGTCACTTCCTTGATTCCCGAAATTTTCAGTGCCGCCCTCGTATGGCATTATATATAAATACCAAATTCTTTTATTTACTTAATGAAGTCCAAATTTAAATTAAATACTATTATACAAAAAAAAGTTTATATTGCCTATATATTTAAATCTCTTTGATAATAAATAAATAAAAACATATAATATCTACAATGTTTCATGAAAGAAACTAAAAGCATGGTTAAGATTATGATACAATATTACAAAGTTTTACATTAGTGCTAATAATAATGCATAAGCAAGATATAAATTGTGACATTAAAATGAATTTATTTGTACCACATTTAATATTAACAATGGTTTCTTGTACACCATTAGATTAAGATATCTCTATAAGTTATTTTTTTAAATAATCTAATAAATCTTACATATGGCAATTTAAAGTATCACCTTTAATTTCCAAATATTTAATACCTCGAAAGACGTATGATACTAGCACAGAAAAACCATTTACATTTCTATATTTGATATGGTTTAAAATTTAATGAAATTAACACAATTTGAAATCCAACTGCTGATATAGCTGGTATCCAGTTACACAAAAATTATAATGTGACCTATTTCTTCCAACCCAGCATAGGTGACTGACAACTATGAACCTCATAATGTCAAAACCTGTATCCTTATACTTTGTATATTTGGCAGAGCTCTTAGCAAAATGGATTAAAAGGATGTGTTAATATTATTTGTAATAGCTGTTTAATTCTAATGTACAAAATAGTTCTCTACTTTATATCCAAATAGAAAAGTTTGTAAATATTCATTACAAGTCATCACTGCCTACAGTTTCATGGACATTCCAGCGTCTGTATATAAATATGCCTATTGCACCAATAAGTAATGCAACAAGAATCTCAGTTAGTTGGTCCAGGAAATTAGTAGTGTTATCAGTGGATTCCAAGCTTTGGGGTTCTACATCATGAGCAGGATCTTCTGGTGGTTTAGCAGTTTGCTCTTCCTCTCCTTTAAATGCTATCTGGCTCAAAACTGATTGTTCCTCCTCTGTGATTGGTTTAGCTGCAGTTGATGATAGAAGATTTGATATTTCTCCACATTGAGGACAAGCCCAATTCCTTGACTTCTTAGCTAGAATTTTACGTTCCGCTGGACTGTAATCAAGTGATCCAATAGTCCCTTCTGCAGGTGTTGGCATAAACGCTATCAAAGCTAACAAAGCTGTTCTGATAGACCAAGATGGCTGCCATGTTTCAGGATGGTGCCCTGAGATAGACAAACAAATTTTTTTGTTAACTTCGAACCTTCCGTTCGGCGTTAGAAGTATTATATGAGGTGGATGCATAGGATATTCTTTTGGTAATAATATCCTGCCGTGATAAATTCCGTCCTCAAACTCGGTACCCTTAGGACCTTGTACGGTGAAATGCCATTCGAATAAATTATCTTCTAAAGGTCGGGCACAATATTCTTCGGTAGCCTCCGCTAATTCCATGGCCTCTCGCATTAAACGTTTCACTCCGGGGCATTTCGTATTGTATTTTTCTCCCATATCTGCCATGTTTACGTATTAAAATTTTCCTGATCAGAAGTAATATTACGCACCAAAGGCACGAAAATTAAATAGTTTAAATATACTAAAGCAATATATTTTAATCTCAAGCAGATCTTATTATCTCGAAATTTTGTGTTATTGAGAATTATTGTTGTAAACTGGTGAGTTGTGACGAAATTGAAATAGAGATGCTCGATATCGATATGATTCACTTATTACAATTCGCTTTAAATATTTGGCATAGTGAATCGAATCGCTTAATACGTTACATTTAATAAGATTATGAGCCTAACTTCTTACCTTTTTTATCTAATAGCAAAAAGGTAATGATAGTTGAAATGAAACCTATTTCATTGATATAAAATTTATCACAAATAAATGGTGAAAGTTAAGTTATAGCATATGGAGTTCAAATATTACTTTAAAAAATATTAATTATTATTCAGAAAGTATTTATTTTAAAATTTTCCGCATGAAATTGTTGTTATTAGTATTGTATTAATTTTCATCTCGTGTTACACAACAAAAACGCCATTTTAATATTTTCAAGCTAAATTAATGATTAACGAGTTACGCAAATACGAAATCAAACACAAACGTTTCTGAAATTGTGTTTATATAATCATGTTTTACTAAAATGTTATTATTATCATCGTTATGTTTACAAAATTTAAAAAAATATCCATTTTACAAATATTTCAGCTGGTGCCGATTTATTGTGGTTTCATTGATGGTTTCAACGACTTCATTCAGTACATGTTTGAATCGCTTAAATGCTATATATTATAATTTATATAGAATGCTATTAGGTTTTAAATATGTTCACATGTAGTACGATCCAAAAAAAATCATGCGTGAGTGTCGTGGAACACTCGGTTAGAACGAAGTTCCTTTCGTAGTATATTATATATATATATATATATATATATATATATATATATATATATATATATATATACAAATAAATAAAATTGAAGTGTCTGTTTGTAATGTCAAAATTACAGCTTTTTACTAAATGCATATGAAAGTATATACGGTACTTATAACAAAAATACAATTTTAATAGTTTTTGTCTGTCTGTCGGTCCATCTGTCTGTCTGTTTGTTCCGGCTAATCTCCGAAACAGCTGGACCGTTTTGACGGATTTTTCACTGACAGATAGCTGATGTCAGAAAGAGTAACTTGGGCTACTTTTATTTTAGAAAAAGAGTGGGGGTTCCGCGGAAAAAAATTAAAACCCCCAAATAACACGCAGGCGAAGTCGCGGGGAACAGCTAGCTATTATTGACATAAAATTAATTACTAGAGTCTATTAAATTGAAGCGTCACTTAAAATTATATTTGGAGATAGATATTATTCCATCTCGTTCGCACTATAGAACGGGGGTCAGGACGGAATATCTCACACTTTTTCTCGCCTAGTCCCGATCCGCCAAATTCGTATTGTACGATAAGGAACTTCGTTCCAAAAAATCGATTAAAACTAAAAAAATTGCACATCCCTAAAGTATAAGGTGTACCAATCACAATTGCACAGATGTAGTGTGAAAAGACTTGACAGTGACCACAGAGTACTTTTTTATATAGGAAAACAGTGACGAAGATAAAAGTATATATATACAGTATTCATTGAGTTTTTTTTTTTGGAGTTTATGGCCTGGCATCTAGACCTTTAGGCCAAGTCTTGAGTATTTTTATTCGGTTTATTATAATTTCCCCACTGTATTTTTGATGAATTTATATAGAGGCACGTAATAGGATCTATTTTTTAACATATCACTCAGGCGGCGGGAGGGATCTTGCACTGTCACTTGATTTTGCACTAAGTATGTCACTAATTTCACTGACAAGAATCAATCTGTCAAATGAAAAGCACTCACATGTAAATATGAAATGTTCGATATCACCAACAGAATTATTGCAGAAGGTGCAGTAACTGCTCTCCACTATGCCCAATCGAGCCAGGTGGGCCGGGCGGTGGAGTGACCAAAGCGCAGTCTATTTATAGTGGTAACAAAGTCCCGACTGGCCATTTTCAGTTTGTTATACCATGGTGCTACAGGTAGTTTTTCTTGAACAGTTCCATACCATTTACCCTTCTGTTCTTGATCTTGTTTCCAAAATTCGACCCATAAGCTATTGACCTGGTTGTCAATAGATTGATAACAGTCGGTCAAAGGTACTTTTACTATGGAGCTAACATCCAACATGTTGATTCCATCACGTGCAATTTTATCTACTATCTCATTTCCTGTTATGTGCCCCTATGTGATGGAATCCACATGAAAGAGACCTGTATACCCTTTTTTGCATAACTAAATAACAATTTTTTAATATTATACAAAATATAGTTTTTTTTAAAGTCAAATCTGAGATTAGTTAAACTTTGGACCATACTTAAACTGTCTGTTAAAATTAAAAAATTATTAAAACTATTTATATGTGCAATCCTCTTCAGGGCCTCGAGGGCCGCATATACCTCTGCAGTGAAAACACTGCATTTAGGGTCCAGAAGAAAACTTTGACCAAACTTGCATTGTGGATCATAAATGGCACTGCGCACAAAGAGCTCACTTTTGCTACCATCTGTATACAAAGTATAGTAGTTATTGTCGGAAATAAAACTTAATAATTCACAATTATTAAAAAAATTTTTGGTAACAATATTGGTCTCAAATATAATACAGGAATATGGGTATGTGTAGCATGTCCACTTTGATTGTTTAATTACATTTTTAAAATCTTCATTCATTTGCTGTACAATGAGAGGCAAAACTGGAAAATAACCTTGTAAAAGCTCACCTCCCGAAGTCTGCTGGACCGAGCATTGTAAAGGAAAAGGTACTATTTTTTTGAGAACATTATCATTACCAGATACCAGCTTTACTAAATATCTCTCTATTAGCAGAAGTCTTCTAAGACACAGTGGCATTATTTTGGTTTCAACTTCCATAGCTCGTATGGGAGTTGAACACATAGCCCCAGAAATAATTCGCAGAGCTTTGTTTTGAATTATGTCTAGTTTTTTTACACAACTACTATTTGAGTAGGCTAAACAACTGTAGTCGAAATGGCTTCTGACTATAGATTTATATAGCATACTTAAAACTTTGGGGTCTGCACCCCAAGTCACACCAGCTAAACATCTTATAATATTTAAGCCCTTAAGAGAGTTAGTTATAATGTGATTGATGTGTAAATTAAAACAAAGTTTGTTATCAATGACAACACCCAGGAATTTATGGTTAGATACAACTGAAATTGGATGATTATTGTAGAGTATGCCATTAGAGGGAAAATCTTTACTAAAAATCATGGCCTTGCTTTTGTTAGGGTTAATCTGTAGAGCCAACTTGTCATTATAATATATGTACAATTGCTCTAAAGCATTATTTATACTATTTACAGCTCTATCTACATTATGGTCTGTACAATATATTACAAGATCATCCGCAAATTGTAAAATATTTACACCTTCTATATTTACAAAATTAAGAATTTGACTAGTGTATATGTTGTACAACAATGGAGATAATGTAGCCCCCTGCATTGTACCTTTGGAGACCCTTCTGGGACCATGGAGAATATTATTATGCCTTATATACAAAGTTCTATCTATTAAAAAATTAAATAACCAATGGCAAAGTATGCCTGGTATACCAATGTCAGAAAGAACTTGAACCAAAATGCCAGGATCTACATTATCAAACGCACCTTCAATATCCAGAAAAACACAAACACTGGACTTATTATTATTATTGGCATATTTCAGATCTGACAAGAGAGAGATGAAGCTGTCAGCACAACTTCTGCCACTCCGGAAGCCATATTGAACATGTGGAATGATGTTGTTCGCCTCATTCCACATGTTCACTCACACATAACACTCAAGACGCATCTTTATCATGTTTTCATTAAGCTTTCCAACACAAGATGACAAAGATATAGGACGATATGAATTAGGATCTTCAGGTGGCTTGTCAAGCTTAAGTAGAGGGATTACACACTGTGTTTTCCAAGATTCAGGAATTTTTTTTAAGTGCCAAAGAGCATTAAGATTAGCTAATAGTTTCTTTTGTACGGACTGATTTAGGTTTTTGATCAAAATGTATGGACAATTATCTAAACCAGGGGTTGTGTTTCGTCTGGATTGTAAACTTGTACAAAACTCACTCCAAGTAAAGGGTTCTATGAGGAAACTGGACTTCTGAAGACTATTATTAATTTGAAAATAACTTTCTAGATTATCAATAACCCTACATCCATTTCGAGATAATTTGTCTAAAAGAGGGACTACAAATTCGTCTTTATATGTTCTATTATTGCATTTTATTCGTTTAAATAACTTGATGTATTTCCAAATAATACTAACAGGTGTAGTTCTGTTAAAAGTATTACAGATGTTAGCCCAACCATTGCGTTTATGTTCTGAAATAGTCTTTTTCTTAACAGCATTAAGTCTTTTGTAATTAATGTAATTATCAATGGTTGGATCCCTTCTGTACAGTTTTAAAGCTTCATAAGTTTTAATAACACTCTGTTCACATGTGTCACTCCACCAAGGTGCTGGAGGTTTGCAACGATAGTTGTTTGCTTTGACAAACTTTGGCACAGTATCCCTCCTAAGTGTATCAAGCCTTTCAATAAATTCATCATATGACTGTAATGGATTCTCATTATTAACTTCAAAATTAGAAAAAGCAGTTATAGACAGCTCATTGTATTTTGTCCAGTCTGTCTTGTTGTATAAGCATTTTTCAATGGGAGGATTAATTTGGTATCTATCAACTGACAATAAAACACGAGTAAGCGTAGGAAAATGATAGCTCCCCATACAATCATCATGCACCCACCATTCGCATAGTGGAGTGATTGAAGCACTACAAAAGCTGACATCAATAGCCGATGGATTTCGGTTAGGATAATTAATAGTAGTGAAGCTACCATTGTTGAGGACACATAGATCAAATTCATCAATTAAATCGTATAACTGATGACCCCGACTTTTCGTGGTCATACACCCAAATGCCACATGGTGAGCGTTGAAATCTCCAGCCACATATATTGGCTTAGGCAAATCTCTAATTATATCACGCAGTTTACTTATTCTGAAGTTACCATTCGATGGAGGGCAGTATACACATAAAATCGTTAATTGTTTACCACTTACATATAACAATAATGCCACAGTCTGAATGTCTTGGTAAAATCTGGTTTGAATAATATTATATTTAAAATACGGTTTGATCAAAATTGCTACTCCACCATGCTCATTTTGGGCATTATGATAGTGGAAATTATATCCCGAAATGTTAAAATGCTGAGTATCTTTCAGCCAAGTTTCATTGAGTAGACAGATATCAACATTTTGCTCATCTAAAAATTTAGACAATAAGGATTTTTTCCTATGTATACTTTGAATATTGTACTGAGCTATACATAACTGCTGTATGTTCTGTACTGTACTGTCCATTATTGTGACAGATTTTTTAAAAGTAAGTCTTTAATGAACAGTGTAGTCACAGGTTCATTATCTGTTTTATTAACTAATTCGACTAAAGTTTGGACCATTGCCATCAAAATATTCTTATTGTTTGCAATTTGAGCCTTAAGTTGAGTTTGGTTCAAGTTGGGTTCAGGCACTGTTTTATTTACATTATTTACAATTTTTACATTTTTATTTAATTTATGTACATTTTGGTTTATTGATGGTAGGGTCTTAACAATGCTGCTCGACTGTGCAGGTAAAGACGGAAAATCAGATGACTTAATTGTATTAGCTAAAGAGGCATAAGTAATTTTACCCTTTTTTTCAAGTATTTTTTTCATTTTTATTGGGCAAGATTTGGAAATGGCCAGGTGGGGACCACTGCAATTGACACAACACAGGTTTTCTTTTTTATCACAGTCTCTGAAAATATGTTCCCCAGCACATATCGAGCAACGTTGTTTACCATTACAAATTTTCGCAGGGTGGTTGAACTTGAAGCACCGGAAGCATTGTTGTAACGGTGGGACATATTCAAACACCCTGAACGAAAATAGGTCATATTGGATGTTGTCGGGCAGAACATTTGATAGGAAAGTTATACTGACCGTCTCGAGACCTACAGTACTTTGACCGACTTTTTTCGTGAATCTTCTCACTGAAATAATTTCATAAATCGAAGACAGTTTCGTATATAATTCCTTGTTCGAAATGTTAGTAGGCACATATCGGATGATTCCAGTTTTTTCTATCTGCGCTGCAGGAATATGCGCCTTCAAGTTGTGCTTTGTTAAAAAGTCTGTATTTGTGATGAAATTATTTGCAGTGTTGTATTGTTTAAAAACAACCGCAATTTTGTTGGCATTGACTCTATGTAAAGCTACCACACCTTTCACCTCCGAAGTAAAAATATGATTTAAGTAAACTGGGCTTTTATTTCCAAGTTTAACCTGTTTGTCCTGGCTTTCAACAAAAACTTTGAAGTCCGTATTTGTACAATGTTCAGGATAAAGTCTCAGATAACCTGGCTTAAAAAACGGAATAAAGTCATCCTCACCGCCGCCTACTTCAGGTCCACTTTCCTTCGTACCTCTTTTACGAACAATTTTGGATCGTTTCGGGGTTCCACCTGGATCCTCCGGTTCATTCATTTTAACAATTAACAAAATGTACAATTATTTACACCGAACAGGATATATTAACGATAAATATAAAAATTAAATCGACCGCCTCGTTTGAAGTTCCCGCCAAAAACATTCATTGTGTTTTCTATGCTCGAAGAGTTGCCCGCACTTAATTTAATTTTCGCTTATAAAGCCCGTTTTTCACTACGGGATATAATATATTAATACATCTCGCGATATAAATTCATATCGCTCACCATACTTTTAAATGGAGCCGTTTACACTGAGCTATTGTATGGCTTGTAAGGTCACACACTTTCAAGAAGTAGAGTTGTAGTTAGTTAATGAGCAGGTCAAAAGAAAAAGATCACCACAGTTAAAAGTTTAATAAAAGTATAATAGTTATAAAGTTGGAGTGGCAAATCTTTCCTTGAATAGTTGGTGTTTAGAAGGACGGTTGTAGACGTACTGCCGATTGTGAGATTGCAATTAATTAAGTAAATTTAAATACACGCGATGCGCGGCTAAAAATAGGTTGCGGCGCTTACTAGATAAAAATATGTGGTGTAACCATACAGCTATAATATATATTACATCTCAAACTATAAATATGTTTTCGATCGACCGAGCGATATTTTCATATTATATTTCGCCCCTTGTACCCCGCACTCCGTACCGTGCCGGCACAGAACGGTGTGCGGGGTACAGGGGGTGATCCAATGACGAACGCACACTGGCTAAAAGATATATCTCACAGTGTGAAATTCAATCGCTGGATATAATTTATATTTCGGGATATAATATATATTATATCCCATAGTGAAAAGCCAGCTTTACCCTTAAGCGCCTTATTCACGATCCATCCCAGCTGTACGTCCGCTCAAAGCCGCGTTGTTGGATGTAGCATACATAATCGAACGAATTAAGGGAACGGGCGTGTTTTATTAATTTAAATGCCACCAGTTTTATCAAAAGGCCAAAAAATGGGAGTTATTCTGATGTTGTCAGCAGCAGCAGAGGAGAGAAAAAAGATTTGGAAGAATTTTATTTATGATTATGGATTTTAAACACATTAATTTATTACAATATATTTTTAACGTTACCGTGATTTTTATAAACGCAAGCTAAGTTTGTCCATGTTACACCTATGCCGGTAGTTGTTGGGAGCACTAAGCTCGAAGTTGTTGACGAGTATGTTTACCTGGGACAAATAGTCCGACTAGGTAAGTCCAACTTTGACCGAGAGGTCAATCGACGGATTCAACTCGGCTGGGCAGCGTTCGGGAAGCTACGACACATCTTCTCGTCAGACATACCTCAAAACCTTAAAACGAAATTGTACAACCAGTGCGTGTTGCCAGTGATGACTTACGGAACTGAGACGTGGTCCTTCACTACTGGCCGTATGAGGAAGCTCAAGGTCGCTCAGCGAGCTATGGAGAGGGCTATGCTCGGAGTTTCTCTGCGTGATAAACTTAGGAATGAGGATATCCGCAGTAGAACCAGAATAACCGACATAGCCCAACGAATTAGTAAGCTGAAGTGGCAGTGGGCCGGCCATATAGCTCGAAGAACCGACAACCGATGGGGAAGAAAGGTTCTCGAGTGGCAGCCTCGTACCGGTAGGCGAAGTGTAGGGCGTCCCCCCACGAGATGGAGTGACGACCTGGTAAGACATGCAGGAAGTCGATGGATGCAGGTGGCTCAGGACCGTGCTTTGTGGCATTCTTTGGGGGAGGCCTATGTTCAGGAGTGAACTTGTGAAGGGCTGTAATGATGATGATGATGATGAAGCTAAGTTTTAAGTTAGAAAAAAAATTGTTGATATTGAACTGTCTGGTGTCTGCTTGCTCAAGTTGCCTTCCAAATCTCTTGAAAACTATGCAATGCTACGCATCAACATATTGTGAAGCAGTGCACTATAAAGGATTACTATCACTTGATACTGAAAATCTATAAAAACGAAGATCCCGTATGAAATGAAGATACAGCTTAAATGGCAAGTATCCAAGCCATTAATCGTAACAAAAGAACGTTCGTTGAAGGAAGAAGGAATGCTGTGCTCCGTTTTAGTGTTTCTATATAGTTTGTGGTTTTTAATAATCTGTGTGTTTTAATAGCTTGTTTATCTATGTGTTAATGTGTTTTATTGCACAGAGTACTTTTATATATACTGGTTTTATTGTCTAATGTCTATGATTGTAATAACCTGGCGTCGACAATTGAATAATTATTTTAGGAGCGCGTAGTGTTTCTATATAGTTTGTGTTTTAGGAGCTTTATTATTTTAGAAGTGCAGTACATAGTACATACGTAATTCACTGAATAATATTTAATTAAAAGAGAGTTAAAAAAAATTCTTTATTTTAAGTCGTCTTTTAAATTCATTATTAATGAAACTGGTGCACTTGAACTAAGAACCTACAATTATTTTGAAATGGAAGTGCCGCCTGGTACAACATCTTCAAACAATGCTTCGATGGGGCCACCAGGCATGCCAAGTTTTCCACCAATGCCTCCACCGCCAGGTTCGATGGGTCCCGGCAACATGCCGCCTCCACCGCCAGGTTCCATGGGTCCCGGCAACATGCCGCCTCCACCGCCAGGTTCGATGGGTCCCGGCAGCATGCCGCCTCCACCGATGGGTCCTCCTGGCCCGATGCCGCCGGTGAGTTCTTCCAGCGGACCTCCAAATATGCCTCCGGGTATGGGTCCGCCACCTGGAATGATGGGCATGGGACCACCGGGAATGGGACCGCCACCACCTGGTATGGGACCGCCAGGTATGGGAATGGGGCCTCCTATGGGTCCACCTGGGATGGGGCCTCCTAGAATGCCCCCCGGAATGATGCGCGGAGGCCCAAATATGAACGCAAATTTCAATAATCCGGGCATGGATATGGGCCCACCAGGCATGGGTCCACCACCGAATATGGGGCCTCCAGGAATCGGCCATGGGCCATGGGACGGCCAGGGTCCTCCAGGATGGGGGCGTCAAAACCGCCCTGAAGGTCCCCCTGGATGGGATGATCATAATGATGAAGAAGAAGATGATGGTGAAGAGAAAGAATCTGGAGCTCAGCAGGGTTCTGCAGCACCATTGCCATCGTTATTGACAATGAAGATTGATACTCCAGAAGAATTCCGCAATAAGCCTGCTCCAGCTAGTGGAGTTGTCTTACCAAAAGCCTTAGAGGAAGCGCTCGCTTATAAAGATCAAAGACAAGCAGCTTTGGGGGATGAGGAACGAAAAGAGACTGGTAAGTCGGCAGACTAGAATAGATATGTAGCATAACATATTAAATGCTTACTCCGTAACAGCTTATTTAAAATCATACAGCTTATCAACATAGTCCTCTGCTTTAGGTTAGCTCATAGGCAAATATTTGGCATTATTACCATGTTTGGCAGGTGGGTTGCCAACCATAGTTTTATTTAAATATTATTAGGAAGATACTGCTGCTCATCCTAGGTTTTTTCCCTTTGTTGCCTCATATGACACTCATGGGACAATGTGGGGTAGTGGATATTCTTACAGTGCCAACTTACAAAAACTTACAAATATGTAATTATAAAATTATAAATGTCCACACATTACATTAGAATTATGTTATTGAACTAATATGTATTTAATCGAATTATTGTCTCATAGTTAAAAAAAATCGATTACATACTAAAATATAGAAACAGAATTTTCTAAATCGGAAGTATTTTAAAAGCTAATAGAAACATATTTCGGGACACAAACAGTGAAAACTATTCAAACATTCAATGACTTACATTGCAGATAGAAAATTTGATGTATACTTACAATTGTTGTGTTGTAATAAAAAATTTGACTTAGGTATTTTGTTAGATAGTGTGGTATTATATTTATAATTGTTGTGTGAACTGTGAAATTAATAGAATAACTATCTAGGTCAGTTGTAGTTTATACAGTGTAACCTTGATATAACGAGCCTCAATATAACGAGTTCCTCAATTTAACTAATTTTTCAAAATCCCCTAGAACTGTCCGTAAGATCTAATGCAAAATATACCTCTACATTACAAATACATTTACCAAAAACCTCTTTATAACAATTTTTTAATCATTGTAGAATATAGATAGAAGGTATTATTTACCTCTATTTAACATTTTTTTAACTTAGAGCCTTAGACATAACATATCCTATTAATTATTTCCACTTAAATCCACAATAAATCATGTCTTGATAGGTCAGACACATACACGACAGGCAGATGAGTATTTACATAATGTTGAGGTTACATAAATTTTCCTACCTTGTTAAAACGAATTGTAGTCCCACCTAAACTCTTATAAGAAACCTCGTTATAATTAATTACATGGTATAACAAATATTGTCTAATTCTTTCAGGTTCGTTATATCGAGGTTCCACTGTATTGGTATTTCCTTTTTAACTTAATTTTATCCAAGTGTGAGTAATTACAACAAGTTATTTCAATTATTTTTTTCAGATAGTCACAAATAAAATGAATTACCAACAAAATGCTTACTATAACTATTTACCAAATAACTATTTAATTTTTCAGTATTTTATAAATACTAAGGTGAATATAATACTAATGTTTATTAAATTTAAAGAAATCAGTTAAATCAAATAAATAAAAATGGTAAAAATGGTTTGATATAAAATGATTTTATGATTATGACAACTTAATTATGAGTATTTATGATTGTTTAGTAAACAAACAGTATTTTATGAAAACTAAACTAAATGCTTTTACTACTGTTACTAATTGCTATGTAATGGCTATATCAGAGAACTTACTTCCCCATATCGTCCCATAGATTATGTAAGTGGTTATAGAGGTAAATGAAACAGAAGATTGAACAAAACAAAGAAATGTTCTGTAAATATGAATGCAACATGCACCTCAAAAGCATTTGGAAGTTATAACTCCTAGAAGCATTTTGTAATCACAAAACAATAGATCATAAACTTCCTTTATTGTTGTCGGTTTCATGTGTATTATTTGTTATTAGGTAAGAGCTTCTTGGTATAAAATATTTGATGGTCTTTTCTAGTGACTAGTAGTAGTAGTGATAAGAACTACTGATATATACTGAAAACTATTACATGTTTTCAACATGGATTTTATACTGTACTACTACTACTATGAAATTTTTATCATAATAAACAAGATAGCTATGTCACTTGAAAGTAACTTTTTGTCAGTGAAAAGAAATTCAGAATTTAATCTAGAGATTTTCTGCTAAAAACAAACTTATATATTTATAAACCTATTTATATATTTTAATATATAAATAGGTTTATAAATATATAAGTTATAATATAAAATATATTTTAATAAATATATTTTATAATTTAAATGATGGCAATATTTTAAAATTTTAATAATATTAATTATAATTTATTGCAGAGCACAGCAACCCACCAGAGGCTCCTCCTGCTCCTGTAATCAGCTCTGAATATGATGCTGAAGAAGATGGAGATTCAGATGATGACAATATTCCAGAGGCTCCATTACCCCCTGTAATTTCAAAACAAGAGGTATGATCTAATATTGAAACAAAAATTTATGTGATAAATCCCATGTCTTTTATCTAATTTAAGACACAAGGCAGAATGTTACTGCTTTCATGGAATTTAACATTGTGAATCTTAAATGTATGTAGCCAAATTTTCAAAGCCTAATTATTTGTGTGATTGCACCCACTGGAGTAAACGAGATGATGGTTTATTTTTCACCGTCTGCACTGAAAGAAAAAAAAATCACAGCTAATATCACTTTCCTTTATTTTTAGGGTCAAGCTAATAAAGCTAGCAAAAATAAACGCAAAAAGAAGAAAAGGAAGGCTGCACGTCAAAAAAGGAATGAAAGTAAAAAAGTGGATGAACAGAGGAATGAAAAGCAAAGTGATCCCAAGAAGTCTAGTAACAAAGAAAATGAAAAAGAAGTTGAAATTGAGTTAGTATTTAAGATTGTCTTTAGAATTTGTTTATAGATTATGAGGAGTGGGTAAGACTTGGAAATAAAATATTATATTGTGTTATTGTGTTGATTTCTGAACATCTTGTCATATATTTTAATGTTACAAAGTGCAATACTTGGCAGGAGGGTTTAAATCTACAGTTTTTATTATTTTGAGGTTGTTGTGGAGGAACTATTATAGGTTCCCTGTGTTGCCTTAAGTGACACCCATAAGGTTATAAGGGGCAATGAAATTTTGGGACATTTCTGAATGGTATCAATTTATAAATGGTATACCACAATTGGAAATTAAATATAAATCATTAATTATACTAACTATTGCTTTTATCTATGTTTGTATGTTGCATGATGAAACAGAAAAAATCTTCAAACTCACAAATGAAAAAATAATTTTACCAATCATTTATTTTTAATATTTCCAGGTATGTCCAGGAGAATATTCAATTTCATGAACTGGAGCCTATGTATCGTCAGTTTCATCGTATTTTAGAAGCATTTAAAATCACAGAAAAAAAGGAGGATGTCATCAAAGAAGAAGCTGGTAAAGATGCACCAAAGACAAGTTCTAAGCCCCTAGAGAAGGTGCAGGATCAATTTGCTGCTGATGAGGAAGCTGTAGAGGTTTGTGTAAAATGTGAAACTATTTTAATTAATAATATCTGTAAGAGTGCTTTTTTGCAATTCTTTTATTAGGCCATGAAGAAAAGAGTTTTCACTAGTGTTACATTAAACTCATTTAAGTAGAGAGAAGTATGTGTGTTTGTGCATGTCTTGTGTGTACAAAGGATATATTCTATAAAATACATTTATAGAAAATTTAAACAACGTGAAGTATATTACTTTAAACAACTGTGTTGGCCTCATTAACTTTCCAAAAGTCTGATTTCACAGCTTGTACCCAGATGCAGATTTTTTTATAGGATAAGGGTGACAAGCGAGCATGCAGTCCACCTGATGGTAAGTGGATGCCGTGGCCCATAGACTTCTATATCTATCCTCTAATAAATTAACAAGCACAGTTATTAGTATCTGTTTTATCACATATGTAGATTTTAAGATGAAGATCATTGTCACGATGTGTTTTAAGCCTGGTAACAAAACAAGTTAGGTCCTAGTAGCAATATATTTAACATTGAATATTACTTTATGTAATATATTTATTAAAAACACTATCCGATCCAAAAGAGGCCGTAGAAAAGGAAAGAAAGTGATTAGTGCATAGTTATTGTTTGTGCAGCATCATTAATATAAAAAACATGTTCACACTAAGTTATAGGATTTTGCCTGAAACTTAAGACATCAAAGTTAAAGTCCCCATTCCTGTACCTGTTATAACACTACCCCAAATGGGATACATTCTCCACTATAGGTAAAATAACACTCAGTTATCTATTTACCATTTTCAGAAACATGCAGCCGATGAAAAGGAGCGCCTCTCGAAACGCAAGCTCAAGAAGCTGTCACGTTTATCTGTAGCGGAGCTCAAACAGTTGGTATCGCGACCAGATGTTGTCGAAATGTACGATGTAACTGCACGTGATCCCAAGCTCCTTGTTCAGTTGAAAGCACACAGAAACACCGTGCAGGTCCCAAGGCATTGGTGTTACAAGCGTAAGGTAATTGGATACATACAGAGGAGTAGTTATAATAATAACACAGTACATTGAGTTTAGATGACTAAGAAGTTTAGTCAATTGTTTGGATGCTTTACAAATAATTGTTCCATCACTTCAGTGGATTGTGTAACTATTCGGATTCGTTGCTTCACTTTGCGATTGCATTTTGTTGATCATTATGAGGACATTTTAGTAACCCTAAAATTATTATACATATGTATCAAATACAAAGATTTATCTATTTCACACAATACAACAAAACAACATGAAATGTTAAACTAAAGCCAACCACAATTTCCAAAAGAAGTACACAATTGGGTTGTAGAAGTTTGATGATAGATCAATAAATTTCTCAACTCAATATAATTAGACACATCATATAATTAAAATTTGCCACATTAAGTAGTCTCAAATCTTTGTCGATTTTAATTAAATTTTCGGTCTTCAAAATATACATATCTGGGGGCACGGCATTGCCCCCGCCAAGTCGAGCAAAAAAGCGGCACGGCCGTACTATCCTTTTCTCGAAGCAGTTCAGGCCATTTTCGACCCCCTATAACTTCGTTGTGGATAAATCTAGAAACCTGAATTTTCAGAAACCAAGCATGCATGTATAAATTAAGGAAAAACTAAAATATTTTGTAATTTCGGTCCAGTTTTCTAGATACACCAACTACATAAATAGCTTTGTAATCCTATATATATATATATAGGATTACAAAAACATTTGCAGTAAATGAATCAGTGTACCTGTATATGTATAATATAATAGAATAATAGATGTAGATAGGTACCTAGATATAATTATGTTCAAAGGTAACTTGTAAAATGGTCAACGGTATGAAAAAGCAAGAATGGGACATGTCTTATGAAGTTTTACCAAAATTCCGCAAAGTATTAAGTAGACTAAATTGCCCGAAAATCCGTAGTTGCTATTCAAGAAGTAGATGGTACCGGGAAGGAAAAAAGTAGGACTATCTACTAAAAGAAATGAGATGCCATCAAAAACATAACTTATAAAAAAACATAACATAATACCAAGTCTCGCAACTCAGTTCTTCTACCGTAAAGTTTTGAGATCCATGTAATACCAAGTTGGTTAATTTATTCAGTCCCTTTATCAATCAAATATTTACAGAAAGATTTAGTTTGCCTTTTTTTTAAAGTATTATACTCCTTCAGTTTTTTTATAGGATAAAGATGACAAACGAGCTGACAGTCCACCTGATGGTAACTGGGTGTTGTAGCCCAGAGACATCTACATCTGTCTTCGTTTACAAATCAAAATGCAAATGCGTTGTCAGCCATGAGGGCTAAGATGGAATGCCTCTTTTGCAGTAAAAGGGTCTCCGGTTCCCTACACTCACCATACGAAACACAGCAGTGTTAAGCTGTTATTTTACGTTGGTATTCTGTGAGAGCATGGTCCTTACCCGGTCGAGCCCTACCGTTCCTGCTACAACTATACAATTAATATAGCTGCAGCATGGCTCAACCACCTTTACAAGAGTGAACAAATTTCACCAATTAGTCCAAATTGGCATCTTATATATCAGCATAACTTGAAGGATCTATTCCAGAAAGTTATAAGTGTAATGTTATAATTATTAAATTTATCTATTTACAGTACTTACAAGGAAAGAGAGGTATAGAGAAACCTCCATTCGACCTACCAGACTTTATAAAGAAGACTGGCATTATGGAAATGCGCGCTTCCCTTCAAGATAAGGAGGAGACCAAGACCCTTAAGGCCAAGATGCGCGAGCGCACTCGGCCGAAGTTGGGCAAGATTGATATTGATTATCAGAAATTGCACGATGCTTTCTTTAAGTGAGTATTTTTAATTTTCTTCAACTCAAAAATAGGTTTGGTGATCTAATCAAGACTGTAATGTTGTTTTCTTGATTGATTCCAACCACTGTGCAAACAATATTAGAACTTATCAATTGTGCATAATTTATAATGCCACATGCTCAGTGGCGAAGTAAAACATAGTGAGAAAACCTGCATTTCTGAGCAATAAATATATTTTGAAGACATGTAAAGTCTGCTAACATGTACTGTAGCAGCACTGTGGACTTATTGCTCCATACATTCTTAGAAATGAAAGGGAGGCATTCGCCCAGCTTTGGGACTAATATGTAGGTTGTAACTAAGTGTAAGCACAATTAAAGGCATCAACTTATCCTTATTCCTAAGGAAATAAATCTAGGTACCGATGCCAAACAAGTCAGAAAAGTTGAGTAAATAAAAGGTAACCTCATGTCTTTCAAGCTTTCAACATAATATAACAAACTTATGTCTTCAATATGCCACACAAAGTACTAAGTCTGATGAATAGCACTAGTGTTTGAGGTGCAAAATTACAAGTGATAAACATAAAAACTTACGCCTGCAACCCAGAGGGATAGGCAGAGACAACGGAATTCCATTTGTCACAATCTCTCACTTCTCAATCTAGCCCATCTTCAATATATGGCCAATTTGGTCGATAAACTTTCGTCAAGGACGTTTTTTCCCGACTTCTGTTCACTTCTGCAATATGAATTTGCTGTCTCTCTTTCCTCATTCATTCTTTCTACATGACCAAAACACCAAAACAATTCTTTCTTAATCCTGGTCACAACATCATCTTGCAAACCACACTTTTCTCTTATCACACAATTTCTCATCCTGTTATTCAGATTCAGCCCTAACATACCCCTTAATGACCACATTTCTACAGCATTTATTCTACTTTCGTGCTTCTTCTGTCATAACCAACTGTCACTACCATACATAAGGGTGACAAACGTGCACACATTTCAGCCGATGGTAAGTGGTTGCTGTGACCCATAGACATCTACATATACCTTCCCTTGTGAATAAAAATGCAGATGTGTTGTTAGCCGTGAGGACTAAGATGGAATGGCTCTTTTCCAGTAAAAAGGGTTTCCGGTTTTCTGCACTGACCATAGGAAACAGCAGCATTAAGCTGCTATTGTATGCTGGTATTCTGTGAGAGAGTGGCCCTACCCCGGACGGGCCGACCTATTCGTGCTACAACTATACAATGAGTATAGCTCTACCACAAATAAATATTTGACACAATTTGATAAAATATATTTTGTTTTTATGTATTTCACGTTTTCTTTTTCTTTATATATTTTAACAATGTGATCAAGAAAAGAGCTGAGCTCGAACATATTGATCACATTGCATCCAGTTGAATACTGGTTTTCCTTTTGTCTCCATTAAGTATAAAGCTGTTCGTCACAACTTAGAAATACCTCAACATGAAGCTTGTTTGCTTATTGGGGTAAGTAAATTGTTAAATCTTTGTATTTATATCAAATAAATTTGGATTTAACATAGAATTAATTAGTTTATTTAAATAAATACTATTTACCTTTTATAAGGCTATATAAAATGTTGCATATGGAAACTAATTTGACTTCTAATATTCATTGGACTTAATGTATATATTACGGCTAAAAGCCGAAGTGCGGTTACACTTAGTTCTAGCCGGCTAGAACTAGGTGCGGCCAGCAGTAGTTTGTTAAATTTAAGTATACTGTTAAATTTGTAAAAACACGGATATACGTATCAAGTAATATCAGCGACAGTAGGTTAAGGTGCAAAACCGTAGACATTTATCTAATTTATAAATCATATATGATACACCTAAGTTAAGTTTAACCAACTACTGTTGGCCGCACCTGGTTCTAACCGGCTTAACCTAAGTGTATCCGCACTTCGGCTTTTAGCCTTAACGTATACACTGGTGCTTGATAGTATTTTTGCATTATTAGAAGCTATAGAAACGGAAACTTTTTTTATTCAATTTAGATTATAAATAATATTTATTGAAAATCAACTTTATTAAATAATTTTTAAAAAACCTCAAGAAACTCAGCAAGGCTTTATTTTTGAAAAAATGAAAACAGTTTACAATCATATATGTTACACAATTAACAGCACAAAACAAACTAGAAATTGCTTGGTTAGCGATCACCTCATTCCCAGGGGTTATATGAATATCATCCATATTTCTTTTTTTTTTTTTGATAATGTTAGAAGATATGAATGATAGTGTGAGAAGCTATTTGAATGATAGTGTGAGAAGCTATTTGAATGATAGTGTGAGAAGCTATTTGAATTATAGTGTTGCGAGCTTGAGGTTCGAGACAATTAAAAACCCTTTAATTACAGAATACTAATTACAACTGAAAACCACACCAATAACAAAACACAATTGTACTACGGATCACTTTAGTTCGCAGTTGTATCGCTTCGAAGTATTCGCTTGTATCGCCAATTCAATACTCACTCGGTCGCGGTCTATACCGGCCTTATATAGGGCCGCAGGTAGTTTCCAGAACCTTCTACTATAGAAATTTCTAGAATTTTCTAGACTATCCTAGTTCTGTCACTCGATACTAGAGGGTGCTAGTGGTAACTAGTGTCGCCATTTACCATGTATTAATCGTGGCGCGCAACACTGCCCCCTCCTAAGACATGCTCGTCCCGAGCATTATTGTCCCCTTTCCCCACAGCCGTAACACCTAGGGCTGTATCCTTTATTGCGGACGCGAACTGTAGCTGCTGCAACTTCCCTGACGCGATGGGAACGATGATCTTGTCGCACGGCTTCCACCTCCAGTGCATGGGCCAACGCATCCTTAAGCGTCTCGTGGTGCCCGAGCCTTACAGCAGCTCTGACTTCAAGGTTGCAGATACCGTCGATAAATGTCTGGACCATGTTTCCTACAATAAGCGCAGGTACAGACTGGTATGCTTTTCGAACCAGCTTCTCCACCTCAAGGGACCACTGCTGCAGGTTTTCGTTGCTGCGTTGCACGCGATCTTTGAGCTGCGCACGAAAGACGTGTTCCAGGTGAGCGTCGCCATATCTCGCCTCCAATGCCTCAAGGAGCTTCTTGTAAGTCACTTCCTTACCGAGAGCTTCCAGAACAGTTAAGGTCTGCGCAGGCCTGGCATGAGAGCAGTCATGGCCTGACTTTTATTCTAGCCGTTCGCCTTCATGACAACCTCAAACTGGATTTTGTAGGCTGACCAGGAAGAAGTCCAGTGGAACGGCGGCACTTTGATTCCACGTAGCGAAGGTGTTGTAGCTACCACGGGAGCTGTAATTCCATCCCCAAGTTTGAGGTCGTCCAGCGTTTTCTTCACGTCAGCCATCACGTTGTCGACCCGATTGTTCACTTGGTTGATTCGGATTTCAGATTCCGACAGGCGGTTGTCATGTTGAGCAACCCTATACTTTACCTCCTTTATCTCTTTCCCGAAGGTAGCGTGAAGGTCGTTCATGAGGAGCATCTGCTCTTCCATACCGCGCTGCAGAGCTGCTCTTCCAATCAACGGGCTTGTTCGTCCTGTCGGCGGGCCTGTTCCTCCTGTCGGCGGGCCTGTTCCTCCTGTCGGCGGGCCTGTTCCTCCTGTCGGCGAGCCTGTTCCTCCTGTCGGCGAGCCTGTTCCTCCTGTCGGCGGGCCTGGTCCTGCAGCATCATCATCAGAGCACCTAAGTCAAGTGCTGCAGATGCAGGAGCTGCTGACGGGCCAGCCTCCGTGGTCGGCAGCTGGCCCTCCGACCTCTGCGACGTTGCGCCACAAAAATGTCTCTGGTTCGTCTCCTGTTGGCGTTGACTTCTGGTACGGATACCCTCCATGTCGTCTTTAGGTAAAATCGGCATGATTTGATCCCACTTCTGACACCATTTTGTTACGAGCTTGGAGTTCGAGACAATTAAAAACTGCCGATTGAATTACCAAAATTGGCACTTTAATTACAGAACACTAATTACAACTTAAAACCACACCAATAACAAAACACATTTGTACTACGGATCACTTTAGTTCGCAGTTGTATCGCTTCGAAGTATTCGCTTGTATCACCAATTCAATACTCACTCGGTCGCGGTCTATACCGGCCTTATATAGGGCCTCAGGAAATTTCTAGAACCTTCTACTATAGAAATTTCTAGAATTTTCTTGACTCTCCTAGTTCTACCACTCGATACTAGAGGGCGCTAGTGGTAACTAGTGTCGCCATCTACCATGTATTAATCGTGGCGCGCAACAATAGTGTGAGAAACTATTTGAATGATAAGGTGAGAAGCTATTGGAATGATAAGTGTGAGAAATTATTTGAATGATAGTGTGAGAAACGATTTGAATGATAGTGTGAGAAGCTATTTCAATGATAGTATAAAGAGCTATTTGAATGATAGTGCGAGAAGCTATTTGTATGATAGTGTGACTAGACCGTATAAAAAAATTATAATTGCAAGAATCAATTGATCATTGGATCAATTGATTCTTGCAATGACCCAAGGCATCCGCAACTTTTTTTGCGACGCTACTTAAATATTAGGTATAATATTCGACAGAGTTCATAGTGGGAAAGTTGATTTGTTCGGAAAATGTAAAGGTTAATGTTTCTTTCTTTACTATTAGTTATAATTTATATTAATTATATTATAAATACATAAACCATACCAGAGATATTAATGAAAGTAAAAAATAAAAAAAAATGAGTTAAAAATGTGCAAAACATTAAAGAGCAAACCACTGAGGTATTATTTTGTGTATTAATTTATTACTCTAGACTAGAAACTGATAAATTTTTATTTAAAACTAACTTCTCATTTAAATGACATTGTGTAACAAAGCTTCACCTCGGTGTCGACTGGCGACATCTGGTGAGCGCAAGATTATTAGCCCTCTTTAGAATTACTTAAATAATAATGTCAAATACTTACTCTCCTAATGATTACAGATTTTGCATTTTGTTCCTTAGCCTTATTTTATATAATGAAATTACCACTTAATAGATGGCAGACCAAACCACGTATGACGATACATGGAGACTTGTACTATGAGGGCAAGGAGTTTGAGACAAGGCTTCGCGAAAAGAAACCTGGCGATCTGTCAGAAGAGCTAAGAACAGCTCTCGGGATGCCAGTTGGTCCCGGCTCACACAAGGTCAGTTTCTCCCTTCTGTTTGATAAATTTTTATGTTACAATAAACACACGCCAGTAAGAAATCATTCTAAGTAGCTTACGGTTCTGTCTCTGAGAGAAACAAAAGCAGAAGCAAAATAAAATCTTGGAGCTTAGTTTAATTTAGTTAAGTTTATAACGGGCTATTTCTACCACGTCTCTTGCCACGTCTACACTCGAATTTTGCATGTGTGCAGAAATATTGTGGTTATTGAAATCCTCGAAGAAGTGTTGGATGTTGCTTACGATCTCAGAGCTACCTCAGCGTGCCGAGATGTTAAGTCCTGTATGTGGCGACCTCCAGACATATCAGTAGCAAGTGGACCTTTCTTCCTCTCTCAAACATATTCTGCACAGGGGTCTGTTTGTATCACCTAAGGTGAATAAATGTTTGTTAAAATTAATCCTAATTACTACCTGAAAATACTAGAGATTAATGTAGGTTTCGGTTGATAATCTTCCCAAAATGTTATGACAACTATGAGCGGCTTATGTAAATATGGATTGTGTATGTGTTTATGATGAGATCTTCTTTATAAGCCCGTAAAAGTGAACTACTGGATACGGACTTCCTGTTCTAGGTTGGATTTGCCATATGCCTTGCCAGATCTCGCATACGAAATTTGAACGTATTACCAGGTGTTTCGCACATTTGGCCCGTTTAATATTGTTCTAGCTTCCCATAGTTAAGTGTTAGGCTAATTTAAATCTTCCACTGTAATTTAAAACTTCTTAACCAGCACTGCTAACCATGTAGTGTGGCTGTGTAAGAATATCAACTGCCCCATATCGTCCCGTGGGTGTCGTAAAAGACGACAGAAGGAAACTGAACGAGGAGATGGGCAGCAGCATCTTCCCGATAACGCTGAATAAAAATAAAAAGCTACCGTTCCCAACCCGCTTACTAAGCGTGGCAACTATGGTGACTATTCAACAATCTTAAATTCTCTTAATCCATGTGGATTGGGGCCGTTTAAGAGAAAAAGTTACACTATTGTGGCGCGATGTAAGCTCTGCCACACATTGAAGAAATGTTATAATGTGGCTAATTTTGATTATTCCACAGGTGCCACCGCCGTGGCTAATCGCCCAACAGCGTTACGGTCCACCGCCGTCCTATCCTAATCTGAAGATCCCGGGACTTAATGCGCCCATCCCAGACGGATGTGCTTTCGGCTATCATGCTGGTGGTTGGGGTAAACCGCCCGTCGATGAGGCAGGCAAGCCGCTTTACGGTGATGTCTTCGGGCACCAGAGCAGCGGACAGGATGTAAGTTGAAATATTCTAGGTCATACCTTAATTGATTGCACTAAACATTAATTATTGAATAGTGCAGTGCGTTAGACGCCATGATACCAGTTATCTAGTGGAAATGGTGGTAGTAGTAGTGATGGTACCAGTTTCTTCCTTTTCTACTTAGGAGTCCTTTTGGAGTCAGTTCGTCGCTAACGCCGCAAAGGGACGAATCACAATTTTTCCAAAAATTATAGAAAAGCAAGAAAACATTTATTATTCCCCGATCACTAGCCTTGTTTCATCAGAAAATTAATCTTATTTGTAGTTTTCCATTAAGTCTAATATATTTAATTTTCTGATGGAAAGAAGCTAGTAATAGGGAAATAATAAATATTTTCTTGCTCTCCTGTAATTTTTTGAAAAATTGAGGTTCGCCCCTTTGCGGCGTCAACGACGAGTTGTAACTATTTTAGACCCCAGAAAGTGCATACAAAAAATGTAATTTAAAGCTATCTTATGTTTAGACAATAAGATGTAAAGGTGACCAACGAGCACACAGTCCGCCTAGTAAGAAGATGCTGTGACCCATATACACCTACATCTATCCTTGGAATGTATTTATTTAAACTTTGTTGCACAAAAATGTACAAAGGCGGACTTAACGCCTTAAGGTGTTTCCTACCATTCAGTCTATAAGTAAGCAGAGAACACTACTAAAAATTAAAAATGCGTTATCACCTCTGAGGACTAAGATGGAATGCCTCATTACCAGTAAAAAGGGTCTTCCGGTTTTCGTGATTAACCATAACAAACTTCAGCTTTATTCTGCTATTTTATGTTGGTCTATGTGAGTCTGGTATAGTCCTGGTTGAACTGACACATTTATGTTGAAACCATAATACAGTAGAACGTCGATTATCCGAATTAATTGGGACCGGGGTCGATTCGGATAATCGGACATAGACTGGTTACATACCAGTATAGAAAAACAAACTGTCACACATAGAATAAACTTTATTAAGTTTATAAATGGTTTTACACTTTATAAAGTTTTATAAAGTGTAAAATCTATAAAGTGTAAAACCATTTATAAACTCCAAGCTACACCCATTTTTTCACTGAACATTCGGGCCTTTTCACATAAAATGGATCCCGAAATCGGTTATCCAATAGGTCGTTGCTGCAGAAACCACATAAAAACAGCATTCTGAAGCTGTTCATCTTTTGCCTTTTTCATTAGTTTTCGCGACGAACATCCATTACCACTTTCCAACGCAGTCACAAAACTTAAAATTTTTTCACTGTTATTTTTAATATTAGTCAACCAAGTACTGTATAAATAATGTTACTTACTGTATTTAGTTTTAATTTTTAATATTACGCTTAGGCCCGATTCGGATAATTGGCGATTCGGTTAATTGGCGTTCGGATAATCGGCGTTCTACTGTACCTAAAAAAGCTTCTTTTTGCTGCTTATTTTAAAATTGATATTATATGTAAATAATGCATTTGAAACCATCAGTAGTAAAATTTTTTCTAAACTTGTCTTTTATCCAAAACTGTAAGTTGCAAGTAATCAGAACTTTCATTTTGCTTAAAAAGTGACTAATAGAATGTTTCCAAATTGATGAATAGTTTCAGCAAAGATATTTGCCAAATACGAATGAAAATATATTTAATTTTAACAGGACAATGAAGATCAGGACATAGATCGCACTATGTGGGGAGAATTGGAATCCGAGTCGGAAGAAGAATCTGAAGAAGGTATAGTAATTGCCCATTTTAGCTTAATTCGAAAAAAAAAATTACCTTTTCATGACTAAAATGCAAGAATGAGCTAGGTTAGCTAGGTAGGAAGTTACAGAACATTCACAAGGTACCTATAGTCTTGTACTCTATTTCCTATAACCAACACCTCCAAATGAAGACAGAGAGGAAGTGCCCTATTAAGGGTCTAAAACATACGATTCTCTCAGTTTATTCTATAGTTCTGTTATATTAATGTATTTAATGGTTTAGGAAAAGTAAGGTAAAATATCTTTTTGCAAAAAACTAGATTTTGGACCAGAACTTTCTCATAGTAAGATAGAACTTGACGTAATCATTACGCTTGCCATGCGTAATGTCGATCGCAGTACCAAACGTCTTGCACCATTGATGTTGCTCCCTGTCGTCATTCTTGGGGATATTTATTCTGGTATAAATACAACATGGTTATCCATCTATCACAGGCTCCAAAATCTTTGGAGCCTTTTACGATACCCATAAAATGAAGTTGTGTTTTCTCATATATTGACAAGGTTGAAGTTGGTTAATAAGCTTATACTCTAGGCACAAGTTCGATGTATCAACTTGCGACATACCATTGTTTACAAATCAAACATTTGATGAAATCGATTTGATGTTGATTGTTTAAAACAACTAAACAACTATGAAGCAATCTTTATTTAAGATTCACCTAACCAACTGAACAACGACAACTTAATAAACATAGGCTCATAATCCATTATCCTATATTCAAGGTACGTTTCGTTCAGTGGCGAAGCTAGGGCTCCAAACTAGGGCAAGCCCAAGATATGGTTTTGTTGTTTTTAGCAGTTTTATAAAAATACACCAGTCTTGATCTGTGTCCACTCTTCAGTTTCATTTTCAGTGCTGTCGAGGATGTGTTTAACAAAGCACACAGAAGGCATACTAGTGCTAGATAGATTGTATGACATATCAGCAATTGCATACCTTCGGTGGCTTTAAAAAAAGCCGTTTGGGTTTGCTTGAGCGAAAGAAAAAGTTATTTACATACAATACAATATATGAACAAAAGAAAAGCATGAACAAAGTACAAACAAACTATGTACAAAATTAAAAAAAAATTATATTCTAAATCGAATCGTCTCTCTTGCTTTAGATAAAAATATGATTACGTCTGCGTAAAATGTTGATGAATGTTTTAATTGTATCAATAACTGTTTATGTAAATATGAGCTGTTTTTTCTGAACAACGTTTAAAGATTTTACCTTTACCTCGCGGATTAGCACTTTAACACACTCCAATTTATCACAAGGGACACTATTATCCTCCATTTTCATTAAAATCTTTAAAAAAGCATTAAAGTAAACATTGAAATGTGAAGTGAAGTTGCAAAAATATCGCTCGCGCGCCCCCGCGCTTGACTAACTTCGTACCTAAAGCCAGGCTTATGGCTCCATACTAATTGCTATATAAACAATCGTAGTTATATTTCATTATAGAACATTTTGCTACAGGTTAGAAAGCGAGCGATCGTCTTTTCGAAAGCCCGGTAAAAAGCCCACGCGTGCGAGAGACGACTAATCGCTCAACTCAACTGCTTTTTTGTGATAGCAGTATCGCGCAGTTTTGCCGCGAAGATTAATTTTGACAGTCCATTGCGTGGAGCAGCGCGCGGGATATTTGAAATAGTTTGAAACAGTTTACGAGTTATTTTATTAGTTGATATTATTGATTTAGCAGTTTGATAGGGCAAGCTCGGCTTCTCGGCTTCTATGGAGGCTTCGCTACCGGTTTCGTTCTCCCTAACGATCCGTTTTAGTATATATGAGGTGCATGTAAAAACAGTTTGGGAGGACTTAAGAGAATTAAAATTAAAAAAAAACTTTAAACGGTTTTAAATGTTGTGGTTGTATCTGGTTTAAACTGGTACTTAAAACTGCAAAATGGCTGGTAAAAGAAATATGGTAACTCTGCATTACTATAACTTTTAGATTAGTGTCCAACCGAAGCCGAACGCTTTAAAACCCTTTTACAATTGTCTGTCTGTCTGTTTGTTTATGAACGTATCACGTATAAAGTACTTATTTATTTCAAAAGAATCGTTAAGAAAATTATAAAGTGCATGTTCAAGTTACGTTTAGTTTTTGTTTTATTAAAATTGATTCATTATATCAAAAGTTATAATTATTGTTCTGAAGTATGGGTACGAAGTGTTCATCAAATCATTCAAATGAATCAAATGCATTTTAACGTAATCTTAAAAATCTTAATTAAATGATGTAAAATATGTTCTATAATAATTATTAATATAAATAATTTTAAATTAAAGGTTTATATTGCTTGTATAGTGTATAATATAAAAAGGTAATTTTAACATCCCTAGATCTAGAGATGATAATAATTGAGTCACCACGTCCATCGCGCACTCGCTCATTTGGAACTGTTCGTTCAAATTCGGCACTGGCTAGAAATCGGCCAAAATTGGCTGAAGTTTTGGCCGAAGTCGAAGGTTTCACCGAATTTAGTTTTTTTGGTCAAAGGTGGCCAAAGACGAAGCCGAAGCTACGTTGCACACAGTTTTCACCTAAAAAATATATTTTCAGAGGAGTCCGGTTCGGAGGAGGAGGGCAGTGCGGCGGGGGCGGGGGCGGCGGTGGCGGGCGGCACGGCCACGCCGGGCGAGGGCCTGGTCACGCCGCTCGGCATCAGCTCCGTGCCGCTCGGCGTCGAGACGCCCGACATAATCGAGCTGCGGAAGAAGAAGCTCGACAACGACGTCGAGGGGTGAGTCCCTACGTAACTGCATGAGCGTACCCAACACTACCTTGCCCGATCATTGCTATAAGAGTTCTCTTCCGAAGGGGATCTACCATAGGCCGACCGTCGCTGGTGCAGCCACGGATGTGGTAAGTGTTCCCGTAGCGCTGCCAATATGCAGAGAAGGTGGAACACCATGTGGTTTTAGTCGGTGCGAGTCCAACATAACATAATATGTTGTGACATAGTACACTTATTTTTTTTGCGATTACTATGTAGAACCAGTGCGTGTCGGCAGTAATGACCCAATAAATTAATAAAATGAAGTAAAAGTCACCAACCAAACCAACTTTAAAATTTCGTTGGGTTGATTAGTATGTTAGTAACACCGTTGTCATCGGTTCACTTCCTAATACTTCTTGACCAAGCAAAATCTTTTTTACCTATAATAATAAGGGTAATAATGCATATAAATAAGCAAGAGCTGTCTAGTGGATATTGTGACTCTGCTACTTATAAAATTTGTAGAAGATAGCTGACCTAGCAAACTTTGTTCTGCCATATACATTATTCCTAGGAAATATTTTTTAGTTTTAAAAATTGCGATAAAAAAACAGGGGTTGATCGTAGAAGGGTAAAATTTGAAGTACTATATATTTTTCAATGCTAAATCATAATAAAATAAAAAAATTGTCAAAAAAATAAAAAAATATAGGGGTGGGTCACCCTTATCATTTAGGGGTTTGAAAAATAGACGTTGGCCGATTCTTAGACCTACCCGATATGCACACAAAATTTCATACAAATCGGTTCTGCCGTTTCGGAGGATTTTGTTAACAAACACCGCGACACGACAAATTTAATTTATAGAATATATATATTCTCGTTTATTCGAACTTCGTTACCTTTTTTTCTCATTATTAGTTTACTTTTGCTGCACTAACTCCCCCCATATGTTTATCTTTGCTTAGCCTAATGGTTGACTGGGAGTACGATTTTTCTTTTGTTATGCACAAATTTTAAATTAAAAAAAATGCATGTTAATATTCCATCTTAGTCCTCAAAGAGACAATGCATTTGTAGCCATCTTTTTAAATAAAATGAAATTGGTTGAAGTGCATAACTTATAAAGTCTAACTGCAGTAGCCCCTTACCGTCAGCTCATATTAAAGTTCTATAAATGTCATATCTGAAGAAAATATTTTTTTTTTTACAGTGGCGATACACCAGCTCTTTACCAAGTACTGCCCGAGAGACGAGTTGGACTCACATCGGGGATGATGGCATCCACACACGTCTACGATATCAATGCTGCAAATCCTGGTAAGAAATTTCTTCATTAAAGCGCCGGAAGTAAGGTTTGACAAGACCCAAAATTTTCTTGTTTGAAAAACTGGTAATCTCTTAAAATGACATTTCTACAAAAATATTTGCATTACTTACCAAAAAAATTGTTGTTAAAAGGAACTAGCCTACTAAATAAAACTAAACAAAACCTACACAGTGCTAGCCTCATTTAAATGCAGTTTTTAAAGTAGCGGTTTTATAAGAAAGGACGTATGAATATTTATTTAAAAATTTGTGAGAATAAAGGCATATTATCTTTTAACATTTTTTAAATTGCAACATTGATTAAATTAAAAACCTATTTACTGTTGTGGTCTATTAAAGTCTACTGCTGAACTTAGGCTTCCCCCATAGATTGCTTCATAAGGGGAATATTTGCCATAGTTGTCACAGTTGGTAAGCTGGTTAGTGACCACAGTTCCTTATAGCATGACACAACTCCTTATAGCATCAGCTGTCTGCCAGTGAAAGGCCCATCCAAATCGGTTCACTGGTCTTTCCGTGATGCGTGTTCAGACAGACGTGTTTTTTTCAGACTTATTTAACATTTATCGTTATATTTTGGCCAATTTACACAATATGTATTATAATTGTAAAGTTTCATTAAAATTCATTTAGAAGTTTCTGCGTGAAAGAGTTTGTATGAAATTATTATATGTATTCATATGAAAAGTAGTGTAATAAAGTCAGGACTAGGCACATAAAGTTAATTTAGGAGCGGTTTCCTTTTCTTGGCTGTAATGCACTGAATGTTTGTTACATTAAAAGTACAGTAATTGTTAGGTCGTGTGTTAGCTATAAGTGCGTGTTGCAGGCAAGCGCACGGCGGGCGCGGCGGGCGCGGGCGCGGGCGCGGGCGAGGGCGACGGCGGCGTGGAGGTGGCGCTCGACCCGTCCGAGCTGGAGCTGGAGCCCGAGGCCGTGGCGGCGCGCTACGAGCGCCACCTGCGCGAGCAGCGCCCCCGCCACAAGGAGGACCTCTCCGACATGCTTGCCGACCACGTCGCGCGCCAGAAGGTCAGCATTTTCTACAACGTTACGCTGCCTTCACACCCAAATAACGCTCTATAGTGTTTTTTTACAACGATTGTTGTTATGATTCGCTTATTAAGGCAGGCAAATGTCTTAGACCGTACAGCCTATAAAAAATCGCACCACTTTTACCATATCAAAACCTAATGCCCGTAACTAATGTAAAAAGGCTATTAGTATCACTAGTTTTCTGGCGAGCCTCTAATTGTTAGGATTGTGGTTTTACTCCTAATCGCTATTTATAGCAAAAAGTATTGAAGTTGTATCCATAACATAACTTTCCTACTGTGCTATATATATAAAATTGTTTTTTTTTTACAGAACAAAAGAAAACGACAACAGACTACAGATTCAAAACAGGCGAAGAAGTACAAGGAATTCAAATTCTAAACCTAATTATTTTAAATTTAGAAGTACATATATTATTTTAATAAGTGTAATGAATTACCCAATACATACTATTAAAAAGGATGTATGACATAATATTGTTTTTTTCTTTTTCAAATAAAACCAACTGTGGGCGAGTCCGTGATGCATAAACAATCGAAAGGAAAGAATGCAGTTAGTGCCGTCGAGTGCGAATACGATTCTTTAGAGATGTGTTAGACCTAATTGATCTAATTTACCATCGGGCATCGGCACTAGAATATACCGACATACTTAGACGCTGAGAGTTTTAAGCCTCGGGCTCTATATTGCATACATAATTTAAGTCACCCTCAAAATTCACACAGGCACAAATCACATAGCTATAAAAGATTACTATAGATTAAAGTCATCGATTGCGCCTGATATGTATTTTATGTCACAAAGCGACATTTTTAAACCAGTTTAGTCCTATAACATTATGATACACATAGGTTTGAGCGTCACATAGCTTATATTTTCCACGAAGTTGTTCAGTGTTCAGTTTGCCCTTGGCGGTTTATCGAAGAGTTTATGCAATTGTTGTGAGGGTTTGTTTGTTAAGAATAAGAGTAATAGTTATTTACTGTAACATTAAAATATATACAATATTAGAATACTATGATAAAAAAGCTACTCCCTGTGGTATCGTGTCAAGAAAGCTGGCTCCGTTTCCTCTCTGAATGGCTATACTAAGCTTTTGAGCTAGAAAAAAAACCAGCACTCTTATCACCAGCAGTGACGAGCAGTGGCCAATAAAGTTCTTTTAGGAATTTCACTGCACCTGGGCCCCACAGACCGATAGTTTCTACAGCAAATGGCACAACTCGGACACTAATATTTTCGTCACGTACTTAGTTCATCTGCCTCTTATGCCGCCCCGGCTCTAAACGAGATACTCTTGAAATGAGAGGCTGCCAAAGCGTCTACGCAAGTAGCAACCCATACAAGGGCTCCCTCCCAAGGTCCCAATGTCATACGACGGGTCGTCTCTAAATAATTCACAAGGCTCTAAAACCAAGGGAACACTTATAGAGACAAGAGCCATTCGATTGACATCGTTCAAAGAACCGTGTCGTGCCCAATCTCGTCAACGCTGCTACCACAAGGGCACTGATGAGGTTGCCTCCTAGTCGGAATCCTACGACGATATGCAAGCCTTCCCCATTAAGTAATATGCCGATATTACTTAATGGTAAAGCATGTAACCAGTGACTAGATTCCTTAGTCGAAAGTACTAGAAGGCGGGCCTGATCTTGGTTACTATGGAAATTATGAAACAAATATTTCTGCACACTCCGTACCAACGGATTATTCCACTGTCTTTGTATGTTAACATCCAGTTAAACATATTCGCCGAGACAAAGCATTTGTCATGTCTGCGCTGCCTCCGCAGCATAGCACACGTCTACTTTTTTTTTTAATTTAAAATTATGTTACATAAGTCACTGAAACCATGCACGGAAGCAAATAAAGCAGGCAATGCAGCCACCAAATTTTATAGGTAAAGTAGCTCAAGCTACTTTAACAACACAATAATTAACAGTCTGGAATTTTTTTATACGATAGGGTGACAAACGAGCACACAGTCCACCTGATGGTAAGTGCACAAACTATATAGAAACACTACGCGGGTAAGTGATTGCCAAGTGATTTTCAGTATATATAAAGGTACTCTGTGCAAGTGATTGCTGTGGCCCATAGACATCTACATCTAACCTCGCTTGCGAATCAAAATGCAGATGCGTTGTCATCCCTGAGAATTAACCCTTAAATTGTCACCCCTAGATCCGTTTGGTATTTTACGTTAAAATTTCGGTTTTCGGTTGGATTTGGGACAGAAAAGAAACTTATAACTCAATTTTTCAAGTACATATTTTTATACGTTTTTTTATGTCCTATAAAACGGACATTGCCCATTATATGGTATCCAAAGACACGTCACGTAGAACGGACATTGTCAATAATGTGTTTACAAACATAAGTGACAATTATCATAACGCAACATAATAAGTTATAGTTAGAAACCATCTCACATCAGCCTTTATAAGAGACAGTCTCAGAATTATTATAAAACTTTTAAAAAAATCAATAAAAAATTAAATTATGGCTCAAAAGGGAACAATTTTCTCAATATTATTTAAAAATATCAACAAAATAATCAACTTCTGGTTAAAAAGGAACATAAATTTATAACCATAAACATAAAATAATTATTTTTCTTCAAGGAATACGAGGTATAATGATGAGAAGAAATTATTTTCACCTAGTTGAACACAGTTTCTACGATATAATAGCCAGCTAGTGTTAAAGGCGATGTCTAATAGTTAGACAAATATTGACTTTTACCAACGTCTTGTTTTCATACGAATTCTGTACAAAGCAGTCAACGTGTCGGCAATGTCGACGCCACCCATATGTGTTGTACACTTTTATTACAATTAGACAGGTTACAGGTACTCTCTATTTTTGCGTTTTGTCGCACCGTTCCAACTGGATCTTAGGCACAAAATGTACTTGCTATATAAATACATCGACTATACAACCACTTTGTCATGGCTACTCTTTTGGAATTATCTCATACTACCTCAAATGTTCTTCGCCCCTTTTTTTATCATAGCTTTGTCAGTCATCAGCTTACAATTTTCCAATCTATCTTTTCGTATGGTCCCTAAAGACAAAATTCCCAACTCATTACGCAAATAATATATAATTGCAAGTGACGTATAACAGTTGTCAAAGTATACTGTGTTAAGTGTTGGATTGGAAACGGTTCTACATAGCCCGAGAACTGTTTTACCTCCAACCCCATGAGAATCTTCCCATTCGGTAATATTGACACCGTGAAAAGTGTTGTTTTTTGGCCCCCATTTATTTGGGTTCTTTGGCATGTATTGCTTTCTGCTGCCGGCCTTTTTACCTTTGTAAGGTATAATCATTTCATCGATTACAAATGACCGTTCTTCTTCTATCTTCAAGCACTGCTGACGAACATAATCCATGACGGGAGTAATTTTATGGTAACGATCATTTTTCTCTACATTTGTGTTATCACAAAAGTGCCAGTAGCGTTTGATGCATCTATATTGTTTAAGTGACATAGCGGATGCAATCTGCTCATACCTCAAATCAGCACTACAGTAATCTTCGACTGGCAGCAAGTCTACAATACCCATTATGATTTCTACTCCAATTAATATTTCTATTTCTTTTTGCGTCACACATATGGACTTCTCGCTAGTTTGTACTGAATACAAATTAGTCTATTCAATTATTACTAACAACTCATCGCTGAAGAATTTTGGAAAATATTGCTTAGGAGTACGGATGTCATGACATTTTTTGAGTTTGGGGGAGCCTGTTGTATTCATAGTTTCGGTATATCTCCTTTTTTTAATAAAAGTCTAATTGCTTCATTTTCCGCTTTTTACGACTATTTTATACGACTTAGGGAGCTTCAAGAAACGAGCTTACTCCTTTTTAAAAAGCCAGCAACGCGCCTGCAATTTTGTACGTGGTAGAGCCATGCTATAGCTATATTAGTAGTATAGTGGTAGCACGAATGGGTCAGCTCGACCAGGTAAGGACCACGCTCTCACAGAATACCAGCGTAAAATAGCAGCTTAACACTGCTGTGTTTCGTATGGTGAGTGTAGAGAACTGGAGACCCTTCTTACTAGAAAAGAGGCATTCCATCTTAGCCCTCACGGGTGACAACGCATCTGCATTTTGATTCTTTATTGAGGATAGATGTGGATGTCTATGGGTCACAGCAACCACTTACCATCAGGTGGGCTGTGTGCTCGTTTGTCACCTTATCCTATAAAAAAAAACCCCTGGTTTTATATTTGTTAATAGGCAGTGGTCGACACTTGCCATCAGGTGAGCCGCATGCTCGTTTGTCCCTTTATATATAGAAGACAATTACACGAAGTAAACAATTATATGTAACAATGTTCTACTTATGTTCTGGAAGTGGGAGTAATTTTTGTGATTTCAATTCGAGCCGTTCGCGGTAAGTGGCCAAAAAGTTAAAACTCGAAAATTCTTTATACAACTAGGTTAGTACATAATTTTTCGATTTTTGTTCTTGGAGGCCGAGGGGCTCCTTTAGCTTGAGGGCCCTGGGGCACTGCCCCGCCTAGCCCCTGGGTAGCTACGCCACTGAACGGGGAGATTGAAAAATGGTTTTTCTATATGCTTGCGATATGGAGGGGAGGTTGAAGGAGGTATTAGAAGTAGGTGAAGGCTGGGATGAGACCACTTCAGAGTAAGACTTTTGAAGATGGCTCAAACGGACAGATAAGACTTTGGCTGAAGCTTCTATGTAAGATATATTTTGTTCTGACATCATCACTCTGATAAATTTCTGTCGATGGTGTTCCGGACAGTTTTTGTTATTAGCAAAATGGTTTTTGGAGCATAAAAGACAAGTGGCTTAACTTTCAGGAAAAGAACAGCTTGCTCCAGTACGATTTTAGGCACATCGGAAGCAGCGTGGCTTAGAGCGGCATTGATCTGCTACACGAACAAATCGACAACACTGTTTGCACTGTATGGTGAGCAGTTGACAAGTTTCAACGACAAGGGATGTGAAAATGCATATACATGTTTGGGGAGTATCTGACCTTCAAACAATGAGTACATCCACGACTTTTTCTGCCACCAAGGCGGCGCCACTTTACAGTGAGGTAAAATATTTGACAGATTTCATAGCGGGGACGATAATTTCTTAGGAAAATGTAATATTTAAGGTTTCTTTCTGTATTATTAGTTATATTTTATATTAATTACATTAAAATGAATAAACCAAACTATAAATATAACTAACAGCTGATTTTTTTAAAAAGAGTTATAAAGTGCAAAAAATTAAAAATCAAACTACTGACGCATTGTGTTGTGTATTAATATAATACTCTAGATAATGACAAACTTTATTTAAAACTAATTTCTCAATTAACTGACACTATGTAACAAAAAACTTTACCTCAGTTACAACTAGCGACATCTGGTGAGTGGAAGATTATTAGCCCTCATTAGAAGTCAGAACAATAGATTGAGTAGGGACCTATATTGAAGATGATGACTCTTCAGAAAAACTCTTTCTATGAAGACAGTGAGCTTTTAGGGTTATACCACAACCAGGGGGAAGTTCAATAGCTTCCGCTAGTTCTTCCATTGACCAATCCATAGGGACACCGTGGATGACACACATTCATGAAATATTATAAGGTGGAATGGATGCTATCAATTTTTCTTTTGCAAGAATTGGGTTATTAAGGAATCTGGTAGCCTCAACTACTGAGCAGAATTCAGAAGCAGAAATAGAGATGCGATTTCTGCCGACGCTTTTAACTCCCCGCCTTTTAGAGTTTGAATATTATTTTTTTACAAAGATAAACCTATTTTAAATGGTCAAAGTGATAGCCCTATTTTAGGACTATCACTAGGAATGGGTCGACTTGAACGGGGAAAGACCACGCTCTAACAGAATACCAGCGTAAAATAGCAGCTTAACGCTGCTGTGTTTCGTATGGAGAGTGTAGAGAACCGGAGACCCTTTTTACTAGAAAAGAGGCATTCCATCTTAGCCCTCACGGGTGACTACGCATCTGCATTTTGATCCTTCATAGAGGATAGATGTAGATATCTATGGGTCATAGCAACCACCACAAACTAGTAAGAAGTGCTGGCGGCAACCACTTACCATCGGGTGGACGGTTTGCTCGTTTGTCACCCTATCCTATAAAAAAACGACTGAAGAGGTACGGGAGATGTGGACAATAAAAGGGCCTTGATCGTTTGGCTCATACATTCTAAAATTTTGCTCTTGACAGGGATGTTTATATAAATGTTATTTATTGAAGCTGTTAAATCAACTATAGATTTTTTTTTATATAATGTTGGCTCAAATGCTCGAGACTCAGCATGTCTTTTTTTTACCGAGGTCGTAATCTTTATTGTCACTTAATCCAAGGCACATGTCTTCATCAGTAGGATCAGGGAGTTTCTCACGGTGACACCCCGTTTCATCATCCATAATTGGGTATATTATTAGATCTAATCCATCAACATAAAATTTTAAGGAAATAAAGGAAAAGTAACCTAATACTGGAAACCACTCACAAGTATGGGCTTACTGTCCGACCTTTGGTAAACTTAAAAAAAATTACACTTTTCTAACAAATTAACATCACCCGCTGTGAAATCTGTCAAATAGTTCTTTTAATATTTCCATTAAATATAAGTTATATTAAATATTAGTAATAAACCAGCAATAATTACTTCTGAAAAAAAACAACACAATTTTGGAATTCGGTCTGGAAAAAATCAAAATTTATAGAGAATAAGTAATTTACGGTGACGAACGCAGAATCTTCGTCATTCCTCAATGCTGCTTTGCATATATTTACTATTACTTATTGATGAATCCCCTCACCCTACGTTTCGTTGTTCTGTGATAATATGTACTCTGAGTAATGGGACTCAGAAGGGTTAGAACCCAGAGCCGTAAAGCTAGTTTAAAAAAATGAGTAATGTGAATTGTTCCGTTTCTTAGCATTCTATGATCTATTTACTGAATCGATTACATTATCCACAATAATCGATTTATCGGTCTCTAGTCTCTACTGTCAGGTGTCAGTGTCACTCTCACGCTGTCAAACTAATTTTCCTGTCCATCCTGGTACAACTTTTTGTGGACTTCGTTCTCTCGTTAGAAGTTGTAATTTTATCAATTGTTTCATATTAAGAATTTCTAATTAATTATAATTAAGGTTTAAATATCACAATGGCTCGAGTTTTAGTTGGAGTAAAAAGAGTTATTGATTATGCAGTCAAAGTAAGTCATTAGTACAAAGGTTACCTAGTTTTCAAGTTCATAAATTTTTCAGAAAATAGGAATTTTTTTCTTCTTCTGCAATATTCGAATCATTTCCTTTCTCAATTTAATATACTGCAGTATTTGTTTCTTCCCCTATAGCACGGCAAATTTGTTACCATGGCTTTCACAGCTTAATCATTACTTAATTACTTAAAAGTAAATAAAAACCAAAATGTTAACACTAATTTACCAATACGTAAGCATGGTAATGATTCTAAAAACTTCAAGTACAAGTTAATCTTGCACCAGATGCAAAATTATGTCAGCTATACATTTTGTATTGTAGGGAAGTGTTGTTTTAAGCACAGATACTCGGTTATTTCATCTGCATGATTAAATAAGCAATATTTACAAATAGAAATATGCCAACAGGGCACAAAGTAGAACAATTTATGTTCCATATGTGTTAACTTTCCAGAAATTAGAAGAGGGCTGTGCACAGTTGTAAGATATATGTAATCGAAGTAGGTAGGTCCGATTGGATTGAAATCCGTCCCTCCTATATTTGATGGATGTACTTCCAACTACAATTTGAATAATTATCTGATAATACCCATTGCTCGGATCGGAGAACCAGGATTAGTTCGCCAGTGCTGCCAGATGTAAAAACCATTCAACACTAATAGCATCATAAAAAGTGATAGATTACATGTTTATATATGTTATGTAATTTAGCACATCAAAAAAGCTCTAGGCTTAGTGCTAAGTTTGGTATTATACTCAATATAAACACAAAAATCATAAAATACTATACATATTTGTTAGGTTATTTTATCAACTAAAGCAAATTACATAAAATAAATTTGTTTTTGGCAGAATTCCTTTTCTGCTTGGGAGTTGCTCTGGTTAGGAATTACCCTGTTACCAATTTCTACCTCAAAGCAGCAATGCATACACTACTGTGGTCCAGTCTGAGGTCTATAGACGGTCAGAGGGCCAATGAATCTCTAACCTTTTTTGTTTGGGGGGACTGTAAGCTTGTTTCTAACTTCAATCTCATAAAAACTAAAAATGTTCACAATACTGAATTTAAGTTTAATTAACCCAAGCATGTAACAATAATACAGATAGAAAATGAATTGAAGGAAGGAATGTTGAACAAATGTTATTGAAAACAAATGAATATTAATCAGTTATTCTGATGTATGCAAAAGTTAAACCATATTGCCATATCAGAATTTAATGATAAATTATCTGTTAGTCAATATATTCAGATTGCCATTAGATTTATCAAAAAAGCACTCTAGCCTCCACTAATATAAGCTGCCAGAGCTGGAACACATACTGAGCGCTAGTGCCGTGCAAAACTGAATTGCAAAACATTGAAGGTGGATCGGAGACTGTGCAAGTGATACACCAGTCTGATTCCGCAGTCTGGATCATGGTTAGACAGCCAATCCCATATGTCTAACAGACATAGATCTGTAATGGATGCATCGCGACCTGACTGAATTATAATCACACTTATTCATCCTAGTATGTAGGTTATTACTTCTAATTTACAAAACAGTAAGCCAAAAGTTATCTTAGATTGATCTAAACTACCAAAAAAAAACAAGTTAAGACAAAAATTATTAGATATTTACTTTTAAACAAGGTACATACTTAATAAGGCTTTGGAAATCAAATTTTTATTAGTACTCAAATTTTTTTGAAATAATTGTTTAATTTTTATTTAGATTAGGGTCAAACCAGATAAGTCTGGTGTAGTCACAGATGGTGTTAAACACTCCATGAACCCATTTGATGAGATTGCTGTGGAAGAGGCAGTTCGAATGAAAGAGAAGAAACTAGCCAGTGAAGTTATTGCCGTTTCATGTGGCCCAGCACAATCACAGGTAGTTATTTTAGAAAGTATATTAAATTAATTTTCACTTATCTCAATTGTTTAGTTATAGGTCTCTAAAGTAATAAATCAATAAATAAAAAAAAATTGTAAATATTTATGTTGGAAGACTACTTTTTGAATTTTTGTTAAAGAAGATAAAAACAAAGAAAATGCAAATTTAAAACTTTTTAATGATGATACTAATCATTTCCAATGTTTTTAACCGACTTCAAAAAAGAGGAGGTACTATATTTTTGTGTTACTTTAGAACTTTTTTCTAGGTGAACCAATTTTGATGATTCTTTTCTTATTTCAAAGGTAGTGCTCATGTGGTCCCATATAAGTTTGATCATGATCTGACTGGTAGTTTTTGATTTATCCTTAATAATGCATATTTAATTGACTTTGACTACATTGATGATGTTCTCATTTTATTTATATTGAAGTAGGTTGTACGAAATTTTTAATTTTACCACTTGTCAAATAATCATATAAAATGGTAACCTTACATCTATAGTGCTGTCTATAAACACAATAGACGGTTTTTATTCTTATTAAACTACCATTAAGCTAAGGTAAAAACTAAAAACTTATTTAATGCAAGGAATTTAAGATGTAAAGATAAATTAAAAAAAATTGCTATATTCCTCAGGAAACTTTGAGGACAGCTTTAGCAATGGGAGCTGACCGAGCTATCCACATAGAAGTGGCAGGAGCAGAGTATGAGACCATGCAACCAATCCATGTAGCAAAAATTTTGGCAAAACTTTCTAAGGATGAAAAAGCTGATATTGTTATTGTGGGAAAGCAGGTATGTGACATAAACTGTGTGGTCTGTGTGATTGTGATTGTATGTATGTATGAATTGTGTGCATAAAAGGCTACAATAACAACAAAATTTTTCCATTCTGCCTACCCTGGACAATTTTTGACTTATGAATTGATTAGTTTATTCTTTCATTGTGTATACTTTATCATCTCATTTGCCTTGATAAGTCAAAAAGAACTTTAAAAAATTATTCCAAAGATTAATTTTAAGGTTTTTCGGCTTAACGCCACAAGAGCCACGCGGCAGCTTTTGCTGTCGCAAGGATGGGCCGGCTCAAACCGGGGTGGTACCAAGACCTCACAGAATACCAGCGTGAAGTAGAGGCTTACCTCTGCGTTTCGCTTGGTGAGTGCAGGTGGCCGGAGGCCCTTTTTACTGGAAATGAGGCATTCCATCTTAGTCCTCACGGGTGACAACACATCTGCATTTTGAATCGCAAATGAGGATAGTTGTAGATGTCTATGGGCCGCAGCAACCACTTACCATCAGGTGGACTGTGTGCTCGTTTGTCACCCTTATCCTATATAAAAAAGGTCAATTTTGTTACAGGCAATTGATGATGATTCCAACCAAACTGCTCAAATGACTGCAGCTTTGTTGGACTGGCCTCAGGGAACATTTGCCTCCAAGGTTAGTTTTGTTACAGAACACTTACTATATAAATGATAACCTCTGTTCATGATAGTGTAGTTTAAATAAAATTATCACGAATTCGTGATAAGAATTTATTTCATACACTTAAGTAGAATAGTTGTTTGTTTGTAATGATTCAAATATTTTGCATTTTAATTATAATTTCCTTTTTTAACTTACCTGGCAAGGCTTAGGGAAGTAGACCTCATTTAAAAAATATTTATAATAAGAATTATTTGAAATCATTACGTAGCTTTAATATATTTTAATATACATATGAAATTAATTCATGAAATTATAAATAAAATATGGGTTCATAAACATAATTTTTGGATTGGATTTAGTATCGTTTCTCAGGAAAGTTGGGAGTTAGGTTTTTTATTTGGTAGAGGTTTGGTCCCCGATTATAACAATACCACTCACTCCCATCAAAATGTAATTCACCGTTTTCGAGAAAATAAATAAAAAGACTACTATAACCTAAAATGTGTAAAACTTGGAAAAACTTATGCAAAATTACTGTGAAAGCTGGATAGCATACAGAATTTTGTGTAAGCGCGACAAGGACGTAAGGCCATGCCATGTCAAAAACTAGTGTCACATTATTATACTTCTATGGTATTTTTATTCTTCTTTGGTCTATACTCTTTGTCAAGTGTCAAATCGCAACATACTAATCTTTATGCATTCCGCCGTTGGTTGCTCTTGTGTGAATCTGTGCTCTCCAGTGTATTATTGTAGGTTTTATCGTGAAATACTTGAGCAACCAGAAATACTTTCAGTTTTTATAGGTTAGAAGGTTGTGGCGAGAGCGAAGCGCAACGTGGCTCCCGCCACAACCTTCGTGGTTATTTTTTTACCACCCAGTAATGCTTGAGGACCCAGAAATACTTGAGCACTAAGGAATAATTTCAATTGAAATAGATTAGAATTAGAAGGTTGTGGAAACAGCCCCACAGGAAGTGGTACCTGGTCCAGCCCCGACTGTTCGCAAAAACTGAGATTGACTTCATTATGACGACTAGACGGCAACTGTTCAGTGATGTCTTCGTGATCGCGAGGGTGAAAACTGGTAGCGCTCACCGAATGGTTAGAGGCACACTGAACTTAACCGTTAAGTTGGAGAGGTCTCGTCTAATGAAGTCAATGCTCCGTCCTCCTCATGCTCTAATCCAAAGTCCCGAAACCTTTCAGCTTGAGTTACGAAACCGTTTTCAGTGCCTAGAAGGCTGCAATGCAGTGGACGATATAAATGACAAGCTCGTGAAAACTGTCCATGCGGTCGGAGCTAAGTTCTGCAAGACCCGCCGCAGAAGAACACAAAAACTCTCCGATCACACTCTAAATTTCATGGCTGTTAGACGGTAAATGAAGATGCAGTCTTCAATTGGTATGACAGCATACAGGCAACTGAACAGACAGATCACCATATGCATGCGGCGGGACTTACGCAACTGCAATACAGCTCGTATTGAAGAAGCGACCGAGCGTAACCAAGGCTCCAAAGTCTTTTGCCATAGAGCCTGTTAACTGTGTTTTATGCAAATAAAGAATTTGTAATTTGTATTTGATCTGTCTGCCAGAATGAGTCAACCGTCAAAGCTGAAGGCCGAGTGTGGCAGCATCGTTTCCGGAACACCTGAGATTTTGAGTGAGATTGAGAGGTTTTATGGGCAGCTGTACACGTCATAGTTGGAGCCACACGCAAGTGTGAGTTATGATCCAAGAGCAAGTCTTATCCGACACTACTCCGATGATATCCCGGACGTCAGTCTGAGCGAGATTAGACTGGCTCTCCAGCATCTTAAAAACGGCAAGGCCCCAGGCGAGGATGGAATTACAGCGGAGCTTCTGAAAGCGGGTGGAAAACCGGTACTTGAAGTGCTTCAGAAGCTTTTTAATTCCGTCCTCCATGGTGGCACTACACCGGAGGCGTGGAGCATGCGTGCGTTCGCGTTCTTCAAGAAGGCAACAACGCTCTGTTGAAGAACTACAGACCGATTTCCCTTTAGCGGTGCCAAGTTCACTGTCGGTATATCGAAGTACTGAAGTGTTTGTGCAGTAGGGCTACGATGGCTATCTGAGTACAAAACCAGAGTACGAAACCTTTCCAACTGAAGAGAGGTGTAAGACAGGACGACGTTATATCCCGAAACTTCACCGTTGCTTTGGAAGACGTTTTCACTCTACTGGTCTGGAAAGGATACGGTATTAACATCAATGGCGAGTACATCACTCCATCAATTTGCCGACGTTATAGTCCTTATGGCAGAATCGCTGGAGGACCTAAGCACTATGCTCAATGACCTCAATTGTGTCTTCCAATGGATAGGTCTTATGATGAACATGGACAAAACAAAGATCATATGTAATGTCCATGTCACACCTATGCGAGTAATTGTTGGGAGCACTAAGCTCGAAGTTGTGGAAGAGTATGTTTACCTGGGACAAATAGTTCGTCTAGGTAAGTCCAACTTCGACCGAGAGGTCAATCGACGGATTTAAGTCGGCTGGGCAGCGTTTGGGAAATTACGACACATCTCATCAGGTATACTGAAAACGAGATTGTACAACCACTGCGTGTTGCCAGTGGATGACTCATGGATCTGAGACGTAGTCCTTGACGGCTAGCCGTATGAGGACGCTCAAGCGAGCTATGGAGAAGGCTATGCTCGGGGGTTTTTTGCGTGATAAACTTAGAAATGAAAATATCCGCAGTATAACCAGAATGACCGACATAGCTCAACGGATTAGTAAGCTGAAGTGGCAATGGGCCGGCCATATAGCTCGAAGAACCGACAACCGATGGGGAAAAAAGGTTCTTGAGTGGCTGCCTCGTACCGGTAGGCGAAGTGTAGGGCGACCCCCCACTAGATGGAGTGATGACCTGGTAAGACATGCAGGAAGTCGATAAATGCAGGTGATTTATGATCGTGCTTTGTGGCATTCCTTGGGAGAGACCTATGTTCAGCAGTGGACTTGTGAAGGTCTGTAATGATGATGAATGACCCAGAGATACTTGAGCACCCAGAAATCCTTCAGTTGTGGTAGTAGACAACCCCGGTCGCGTTACATTTTGAGGTTTGGTCTGTGGGATTTTCTTTTTGATTTTTCTCAAGAACGGTGTATAACCTTTTGATGGGAGTGGTGTCGGGAGTTAGAAGATACTCCCTCCCCCGTCCTGCCAAACGATTCTAAATTTTAACGTTATATTTTTTTAGTAATGGAATAAAATTTTATTGATTGTCTTTGGAATTAATAATTTTATGTTAGGTACTGTTTAGTGTTTATATACATTTGCTGCACTCCATAACACAACCAATAACATGTTTAACCTAACGTCTTAGGTTTATTTAATAATAAATAAAATTCAAGTTAAGGTTAACCAGGTGGCATGAAGTAAACCATGGAAATGTATTGCCTTAATAGTTGCCATTGAATACTGAATATCAATATCTGCAGGTTGTGTGACAATGGCTACAATGTTAAGTGCATTGCATGTGCTTGGCTATGAATGAGAACATCTTATGGAAGTCTGCATGTTTGCCTAGTGTAAAAAGCCGAAACGCATTGAAGGAGCACAGTGGACTCTTCCTGTTTTGAAAAACTATAGTGCCCAATGGGAGAATATATTTTGGAGGTTGTTACATCACATTTTTACTTTTTAAGGTGGAAAAAACAGACTCTGGCTTAACAGTAACCCGTGAGATTGATGGCGGTTTAGAGACAATCAAGACCAAGATTCCAGCAGTGATCAGTGCAGACCTCCGACTTAATGAACCTCGCTACGCTACTTTACCTAACATAATGGTAAATTGCTTGTTTATTCTTACCTATATTCAAATCATTAATTACGCAAATACCTAAATAGGTTGTCTACTTTATATTTTTTCATCAAAGGTTAGTAATTATATCATATGAACTACACAAACCTTTATATTCACTTTTAATAAAGTTGTACAGCTAAGTGAAATTTTTATCATCATCACATTTACAGCCTATTAAAATACACCGCTGAAAATACGCTACTTTCCCTTAGATAGCCTATTTTGGGGGATATTTGCCATAGTTGCAACGCTTGGCAGGCGGGTTGGCAACTGCAGTTTTTTTATTTTATCGTTATTTGGAAAGACGCTGCTGCCGATCTGGTTTGTTTCCCTACGACACCCACGGGACAATATCACCACCACTTCACAGTCAACAAACTTTTATAAACTGAAATGCTTTATTTTTTTTATATAGGATAGGTTGACAAACGAGCACACAGTCCACCTGATGGTAAGTGGTTGCTGTGGCCCATAGACATCTACATCTATCATCGATTACAAATCAAAATGCAGATGCGTTGTCACCCATGAGGAGTACTAAGATGGAATGCCTCTTTTCCAGTGCAAGGGGTCTCTTATAATAGAAATTACATTAAAAAAAAACGTGTGTGTGTACTTATATACGCACGTAAGAAGTTATACTTCTCTAGTGTTACAAAAGAAAAATAACTAAAATAAAACACATTTTATAGATTCATATATATTTGAATAATCGCCTTGAATATAGTTATCAGTTTTCACGAAAACTTGACAATTTACAGACAATTACCAACTGAAGTTGTCGCTTTTAGGTTTCGGTTTGCGCGCGCATAGTAACAACTTAATAGTGTCGTTTTTATATGTCGGTGTGTGCGCATCGTAAAGAATTCACTCTCATCATTTTCCTCAAAGGCGCGAAAAGCAGTATAATTTCAAAAACTGCCTTGAAATACCTTTGAATACTTACAATGATACCTTCATGGTGTCGTTTTTATATGTCGGTGTGCGCGCATCGTAAAGAATTCACTCTGGTATCCCAAGACTTCCAATAGTCACTCCCAATTTTACTGAAATATGTTATTTGATATCAGTTTCAAAGGGAGATGTATTTTTATCTATTATTGTATAGTATCTATTATCTACTAGCTAGTAACCGGCGCATTGCTACCGCAGAAGAAATAATTGTGGAAATATCGTTTTAAATTTGTAAGAGTTGTATTGTTTAATTAGGAATGATAATGATATATAACTTTCAAATAAATTTGTCTGTACCTTAGAGTAAGTAACGTTAGCAACAATGGACATCGATGCACTCGTTCTTGTTTAGTTAAGTAATAAAGTTAAAGTTACAGCCTATATACGTCCAACTACTGGGCACAGGCCTCTCCTCATTTTTGACAGGGTTTTAGGGCAAGGAAATGTCTGCCACGCTGCCCCAATGCGTGTTGGTGAACTTCACATGTCTGCGAATTTTGTTCTTATTTCTCAGACATGCGGGTTTCCTCACGATGTTTTCCTTCACCGCCGAGCATGTGGTAAATCAGCACTAAAAATCGCAATTAACTTGTGTCACTTTTCATTGGTGCCGGGCGGGGATCGAACCCGGGTTGCTCGCGTACTGTGAAATTTACAGCAAGCGCTAATACCATGGCTCTCTGTCTCTCTTTGTTTAGTTATTTATTTTTATTACTTTATTATATGTCTAAAAATATAAAGACAAATATTGTTAGTAACTATAGCAAATATTCCCTACGTTCAGCAGTGGACCCTAGGCTTATAATGAATGTATGATAGATAATATCTTGAGGGAGCAGAGAGGAAAACGGATAATGCGTTCGTAATCGATTTATTATAGTAGTTGTGATCTCGCGACAAAAGAGAAAGCAGACCGCGGTCGTGCCGCTGTTATTATACTATCCTAGCAATGCCCTCTGTGTACGTTCTATGAAACAAACCCAGTGTCGATTAAACAAACACAGTTGTTATTCCCTGTGAAACCCTTAATAAAGGGATAATTTGGCGGAAATATACCAGCTGAATTTAAGTAGATTTGTACGTGGTAGAGCCATGCTGCAGCTATGTTAGTAGTATAGTTGTAGCACGAATAGGTCGTCTCGACCGGGGAAGGACCACGCTCTCACAGAATACCAGCGTAAAATAGCAGTATAAGGCTGCTGTGTTTCGTATGGTGAGTGTAGAGAACCGGAGACCCCTTTTACTGGAAATGAGACATTCTATCTTAGTCCTCACGGGTGACAACGCATCTGCATTTTAATTCGTAGGTGAGGATAGATGTAAATGTCTATGGGTCACAGCAACTACTTAACATCAGGTGGACTGTGTGCTCGATTGTCACCCTTATTCTATATAAAAGAAAAAAAAAGATTTCATAGTGACCTTTTCACGACATATTTTAAATTATACAACGATAGCACCACATTCCCCATTAAGCCTGGCGTCGACTACAGCAGAAATGCGTCGAATTGAAGCGAGTCGCATTTAGTCCTAGTGCGTCCATCTCTGAAGAATCGAATCAAATTGTCCATTCATCGCAAATTATTCAACAAAATAGGTCGTATTTACGTCATGGACAGCTCGGATGAAGAGATATTTTTATTTCATCATGATAACGTGGATCTTCATGATTAAACAATTCTGGATATTGTTGGACCAGTGATATCAATAGTTCTTCATTCATTTTTAATTAAACATAAAGATTTTTACGAAAACGAAATAGAAATTAATTAAAATACGCTGGCGTGCATCCACTTCGCCGCGTCGACTGAGGCGCGCCGAGTTGAATCGAATCGCATCGGCGAAGAAATTTGCCTGTCAAGCAATTCACGCGGTCGATTCAATTCGGCGCGCCGCGGCTCGTCGCTAATGGACGCAGTTTCATAGTAAATATATAGGAAGCGACTTTCTGCGATTCGATTCGACTCGGCTCGTCGAGCCTAGTGGACGCTTAGCCTTATTCGACTACGTTTTTATTGTAAGATGTGAGATGAAGCTTCCATAAACTTTCATCGATATAAAGAAGTATTCCAAACCGGACGAATAAAAATCCCTAATTTTACTAAGTCATTCATGGACTAAATGCATTTGTCGACAACGTTTTTTGTTTCGCTAATGGCACATCAATAGACACCTCTCTGGAATGGAAAAACGGCAACAACCTTGTAAAAGAAAGAAGGCGAGAATAATACAGCTATCTTATTGTGTACAATGTTATACGTGATATGTATAAAGAGTTAATCTATAAGAATTTTGTTCTTATTTTAAAACTCAACACTAGTAATTACTTTGAAGTCCGTACGATACACGCGCCATCTACTGTAAGTTGTTAGTAAGCCTATATAAACTTCGCGCAAGTGCAAGCAATAAATTGACAAAGTTTTACCGCAATCTGAACCGATGATCGTTATAGCAGCGCAGCGCAACCTTCATAGTCTAAGGGATTGATATCCAGCTAGTCTAGTAGTTTTGTTTGGATGTTCATTGTTTTGAAGGAGTACAGGTTGATTTTTCCATTTGTAAATTTAGTTTAGGGTTTCTTCATGCAACATGTCATGAAAGTCAAGAAGCCTAAGCTAATGAGGGCTAATAATTTTCTGCTCATTAAATGTTGCTAGTTGACACCAAGGTAAAGGTTTTTAGTTACACAATGTCATTTAATTGAGAAGTTAGTTTTTTAATAAAAGTTTATCTGTTTCATAAGTATTATATTAATACACAAAACAATGCCTCAGTGATTTGCTCTTTAATTTTTTGCACATTTTTAACTTTTTAAAAATTTTCTACTTTTATGAATATCTGTGGTTTGGTTTATTTATTTTTAATCTTATTTATATAAAATATAGCTAATAACGCCGGACGAAACATTAACCTTTACATTTTCCGAACAAATTAACTTCCCCGCTATGATATCTGTACAATTATGTCACTATTAAGTGGCGCCGCCCTGGTGGCAGAAAAAGTCGTGGACGTCCTCATTAAACGCCATGCCCTCGTAATGCCATCAGCAGCTTGCTGTTACTGTTGTGTTGCGACCATTGAAGTTTAGCGTCTCATCTTGCTAGCCAGAACCCTTACTGCTTTCAGTCAGCAACCGTGACTCTCACGTCTCATTGATTGCCAGTTTTTTAAGCATACCAGACTGCTTGTTGTTTTGCTTATAAGAGATGTTCTTTTATGAAATTGTGTCGCACCCACTTATCGACATTTTGGTCAGATGAAGAATCTCTGACAAAATAATCCAAACTCCCATTGTGTCATAACATTGCAAATTACTAATATAGAATGAAGTTACACACTAGTCTATTATTGTTTTACAGAAAGCAAAAAAGAAACCTCTAAAGAAAATGACTGCTAAGGATTTGGGGGTTGATCTAACACCCAGAATAAAGGTTATCAGCGTTGAAGATCCTCCAGTGAGGCAGGCTGGCTCCATCGTTCCAGACGTAGATACCCTCATTGCTAAACTTAAGGAGGGAGGTCACATATAAATACACCACATCAAACAAAATCATAACATGTTTATTGTGTCAATTGTTAGAACGAAAATACTTTGTACAAGATTTTTATATACGGAGTTATGAAAGTGTAGTCTATCACAATTTTATTTGAACATAGTAAATTTTACATTGTCATGTTGAAAATATAATACATTTCGATTTAAAAGGTGTTGTTTTACATTCACAGTCCCTTGGTTTTTAGCGTTAATAAACACTTATTAGAAAAAAATATACATTTACCAAAATTAATGTTCTTGCTGTTATACTTTGAACTGACAAGTTATTGAAAATATTTTGTGTATATACATTTTTTTTAGTGAGGAAACTTTTTTGTAATAATTCATGTTAAAATGTCTGTCTGTGACCCCTGCAACCATTTCAAACTTTAATTATTACAAAGTTTTTTATACAATTAAAAAAAAATATATTTACATGTGTCCAATATCACTATAAACTTAGAAATTAATGACCTTTTCTAAGTCATGAAATGGGGTACAAAATTTATTGCTGTCTGCTTTAAAATTTGGCTTTTGTAATACAATCAAGGTCTGGTCATATTAACTTATATTCAGTGGTAAAAAACTACATAAAGTTAAAACTAATTAGTCTCAACAATTTATGGAAAAAATGACTACAAGTCTATGTAATTTATTAAGTAATCAATACAAGTCTTCACCGCTATAAGGCTCGTACCAGACTATTTTCCCTTCAAGGCAACCAGTGACGAGTAGATGGTGACGTGGACTGAATTTCGAACTGACGACGAGGTCCTGATGAATGCCGAGACTTTGGCCCACGTCTACCATGGGGGAAGGGCCGCGGGACTCTTGCACACAGTGGGACAGTTCACTGCAGTCTTCGTTCAGTGCTAGGAGACGCATGCCGCGTCCAAAAGGTGAGCACACAAGTCGGCCGTCTGCTGAGTAGCACAGTTCCTGCAGATTCAATTACAAAGTATTAAAAACAATAAATTTACAAAAATGAAACTTAAAAAGTTAAAACTGATTAAAAAGAAAAAAATAATTATTAATAAAACATTGAAGCAGACTTAAAAGTAATGTTTCTCTGATCACTGGTTCAAAATAAACCTCTGTCCTGGGAAGAACAAGCAAGATACACACACATTTTTTCCACAGTAACATGATACAATATATAATAGTTTGAACAATTATTTACAAACTCATTTGAGAAATTAAAATCCCAACTTCAGAGTGTGATTTTTTGCTTCTTAGCATTTCGGAGTCGGATTTATTTTTCGATTGTTTCGTGTTGACTGAGGAATATCACAATATCATGGTTGTTTACATAGTTACGTTCAAAATTTAACCCACCTTAGATCTCTGACATGCATGACTTCAAAGATTTGGCAAAACTTACAACCATAGGTAGGTGGGCGGATAAGCACAGAACCCTTGCGCTAGAAATGTTGCTGCCTGTCACTGGTTTGTGATTAGGGTTCAGACTTTCAAATAGATGTCGGTTACAAATTGGTGAGGGTGTCATTTTAAGTTTTTTTTTACTTTCTCATCATCATTACAAGTCCGCTACTGAACATGGGCCTCCGCTAAGAAACGCCACAAAACACGATTTTGAGCCACCTGTGCCCATCGACTTCCTATATATCTTACCAGGTTGTCCTCCATTCACCTCACCTACTACCCCCTTCATTAAAAGATTAAATTAAAAAAATATGTCAAAACGACGAACGAACAACTATGATAAGTGTGTGGCGGCGCTGTCGTCGCGCCACAAGCGAAACACATCGAAGCATAAATCGCGCTATCAAAGTTCATCGCATCGCAGCACTGGAATAATAATGCTTCCTGTTCCTTCAAGCTACTCTCTGCGCTACAGTGTTCGGCACGGCTCTGAGCCTTACTGCTCGCCTCTGCTTCACGGCACTCTCGCAGATTACTTGCCTTCTTCTCGACTCAGCGCAGACTACAAGGCAATCCCTGGCACTTGCTCCGGCTCATCGTTCTCACCGGCATCACTTGCAAGTGCGTAGTACGGCATGCATTACACACCGGCATATCATTCGCACCGGCGTCACTTGCCCTTACGCACACAGCATGCATTCCCCACCGGCATTAAGGACGCACCGACAATCGGACTGCACTATCGACCTCCGGTCTGAGCAGGGGGGTGATGTGGCGGCGCTGTCGTCGCGCCACAAGCGAAACACATCGAAGCATAAATCGCGCTATCAAAGTTCCGAAATTAAAGCAGCATATATAGAATAGCTCCGAACTACCAAAAAGGAGCGTTGGCCGCTCCCCGGGCAGAACACCTTGCCCGGTGGGAGATCTCCCCTTTTCCTTCCTACCGCCACAAGTGCAATCTGTGCAATATACAAGTTATGGCGTAAAGAGTGGACATACATTTAACTACGGTAAAAGTCTCACGGTTTTTGAGTTATGGGACAATCACGAAATTTTCTAAACTTTTTACTCTTGTCCAATTTTTTCGGTGCCAAGATCACAAATGAAGGAATTTTCTCGACCTGTTTTTTTTTTGTAGCATGCTTTAATAGCTATACTATCATCAAATTATGCACGCTCTGCATCTTCAAATAAAAGAGCGTGCATGACCAGATTTAGTAGCTGGCAACTCATCAACCCGAGATTAAAGAGCGGAGATAGGTCCCAGTACTAGTAAACCTGTGGACTGCGATCTGGAACGGCCAAGTCTTCGACCCATTTCAGTTGCCAGACAGGAACTGCCGAGGAATATTCTTTTTTTAAGAACGTCCTCCCTACATTGTAAGAGGACATCTTTTTGGAAGACAGAAGAAGAATGTGGCTGCAGCAAGACGGTAGCGCATTACGCCCACAACGTGAGAGAGTACCTCAACGAAACATATCCTCGTAGATGGATCGGGCCGGGCGCATGTGGACCATTCTGTGGCCAGCACAGTACCCAGATCTTAACCCACTCGACTTCTTTTATTGTGGGTGCCTCAAGGAGATGGTATACAAAGAGCCGATCACCTCAGTTGAGCAGCTGCGTGAGCGTCTTCAAAGAGCGGCCCGAATCTGGTCATGCGCGCAAAATAAATCGCTCTTTTATTAGAAAAGATGTAGAGCGTGCATAAGAGCTTAATTATAGCCATTTTGAGCCCTTGTTGAAAGAAATTTCAATGCAATAAATGTCTTAATTTGTTTCATTTTTTTGTTTTAGAAAATTCCTTTGTAATAACATTATTTTTGTTTGCGGAATTACAACTCCCTAACTGAATTTTAATTTTACTTGTAATTTGAAATAATGACCCTTGCCCATCTTAACAGCAATATTCTATACATTGCAAGCTAGAAATGCTGAGTGCTATACTATTTCTGAATCTCAATGAAGTAGGCAAGTTGTTAATTAGTTGGTCAGCATACATTTAAAAAAAAAAAAGAAACTGTAAATGTGGCACCAAAATAGCAGTTAGTATTTGATAGTATAGCTATTAAAGAATGCTACAAAAAAATAGGTCGAGAAAATTCTTTCATTTGTGATCTTGGCACCGAAAAGAATGAATATGGAAGAATGGATAACTCGAAAACCTTTTACTGGGTACATTTTTTATTTTCTGAACAGTTATGATGTCCCCCACCCGTAGTTAAAGGTATATCCACTCTTTACGCCCCACCTGTATATAGATTTGTAGGAATTAATGCGAGTAGTATTTTATTTTGCTTTAACATATCTATCCCATTTGGTTGAAATGACTTTACTAACATTACCATGTATTAATTTGTTATTACAGACTGCGAGTCTGTGGTGCAGATTTGGAACAATCCATGATCCTTTGATCCTGTAGTAAGCCAACTCAAGAATCAAACAAAGATAAACTCAACTCTATTGCTTTAAATGTTGCAAATCATCTACAGGCATTGAAGTTTTACCGGCTTTTTAATAATGAGTGTATAATTGATACCTTAATAAAACCTCTGCCCTCATTGGTCTCCTCGATGTAGTAAAGCAGTCGCTCTCTATTTTGTCGGATGTAATGTCTGGTGGCGGCTTCCTCATCGCAAGTGAGCTCACTTTCCCGATTCCTCGGCGGCGGCGTTTGGCCGGAAGTTGACGGACTTGTACTGAATAAAGAAAAAAATAATTATAAACTTTCTTATATGGCAGTTTTTATTTCTACCGTATTTTAAAGATTTGTAATGAATATAAAGTTTCGAATTGCTTGCAGTACCTATGTGTAGATCTTCATAGGTAAGAAGCCTACATCCAAAAATAAATTGTTTATGAGTGGTAAACCAAAAAGAAAAATATGTAAAATAAATACAAAGCGCCAATTTGTAACAATGATTTATTCTTTTATTTTTTTTCCAGCTATATGAGTATGTAATGAATGGATTGATGCATTCAATTATATTCAATTTGTTTAATTCATGTGGTTCTCGTGTGCATATACTAGGCAAACTAGTAGAATAATAGATAATGGAATAAAACTAATTTTACAGATTTTATCGCGTTTAATTTAAACTTTTTTAATTCCCGTTTCGGGCACGTTACAGCACCCATGCTGACGGGAGGGATTGAGGTGGTACATGGCACTAACAAGCAAGATGGCAACAATCGCACTGACTATATCTTTTTTACGACTTTTTCGCTTCCTACACTTGTAACTATTAGGCTATGAATCTTTATAAAAAAAAAATCAATCTAACTTTTATGGGCTCGGTTGATAAAGTGAAAATTCGGACGTGGCTTGCTGAGGTTAAACGATAGCTGTAACGTGAGGTGGTAAGTAAGGGGTGTAGAGATAGCTGTGTTGTGTGATGATAAGGGAGCGGTATGGTGTGCACATACGGTACGGTGGACGGTGTACGTATGTGCGGTGGGATAACGATTTGGCGAAATTGTAAGGTAACGGTGTTGTGAGCGAATGAAATGTTGAGTGGTATTTTGATGTTTGTGGAGTTGAGTGGGCAGAGACCTGTCTGTAGCGCTGTGTGTCGGCGGCAGCAGGCGGGGCGAGGCGCGCGCGCGGG